TCGACTCCATCTGGCATTGGCAGTGCTGAATGGAACAGACCAGAGAAGCGCCTGGATTCATTGCCCGCATGTTGGGACTGGTGTGACGGATTGGAATCCCTTCTGTTGTTTGATGCCGACTCTGAGCTCTGTCTCGGGAGACCATTCGTTTCATAGCTTCGACCAGTGCCAGGCCGAGTGCCGGGCGGCGGAGCAATTGCACGGGGCACAGGTGATTGGTCACCTGTAACTGGAGAGGCAGACATTGAAGGTCGCTGAGCAGTTGCACCGGCGTAGTAGTCTCGGTAGTAGAACTGATGGGGACTGAGTGGTGTAGTGCTTGGCGACAGCGTGAACTGGCCACTGTGGCGCTTGGCAAAGTCTGGTGTCGGCAACATTGGGGCATGGTCACCATTGACTGACAAGCCTCTGGCGCGCGGAGATGATATCTCAGCTGGCCGTGGCCGGTGCTTAGTCGTGACATCGTCGGTGCTTGCTGTAGTAGACTGTGACGTCCTTCCTCTGTATGCAGGGTTCAAGATCCCAACATTGGCGAAGAGTTCCTGCGCGTACTTATAGTCCCGTTGGAAAGCAGAGACAATGTCGGGAACCTCTGGCGGCGGCCCCGTCTCTCCGGTGACCTTCTTGACCTTTTCCACCCAGATGGAGTACCAATTCGCCTGAATGTTGACGAAATTGCCCAGGCAGATGTTTCCAATCCTCTCTGTCAGGGCAGACAGCTGAGGGAGCTCCTTCTTAAGGGTCTCGTTGAGGGCGTCGTACTGCTCCACCAATTCCTTAAGTCTGACGTCTATCGTCTTTCCGCCCTTCTTGATTTGTTCTGCCCTCTCATAGTCAAGACGTCTCTTTGCACGTTTCTTCATTGCCAACGAGGGGTTACCATAAGCCTTGATCACATGCTCGAATGGCTCGATGACATGCTTGCGAACTTGCTGGAGCTACTTGGGTGTTAGTGTGTGATGAATGGCTTCTTGAATGGATTGCTCACATGATCTTCTAGGGCGATCTTCTCAATATCTCTCATCGAGACATTGAATTGCACCCATTTGCTTTCCAGCTCCGGATAGCTACCAGGTTGGAGACGCATAACAAGCTCCATGGCGGATAGGTACTGTAAGAACTCATGCACATAGGCGCTGACCTGTCGGGTGTAGAATTCCACATCTCTGAGAACAACTTGTAGCCGAAGGTAATCGTCGCCAAATTTCTCATGGAGCTTGGCGTATACAGCGTCTTCAGGTATCTTCGAGCTTGCAGCCTGAAGCTTATCGACACGTTTGCCAAAGGCTCGAGCAAATCCAGCCTTGACATCGGATTCCTTCCTCTTGCGGCCAACAATTTGTCCAACAAGCTCGAAGTTCTTCTTCGTCTTGTTAATCTCGACAATTGCCAACTCCAGGGTTTCCTTGGCTGACAACAGCTCGGCTCGGTCCGGATGATCCTCGGGCGTGTGTCGCAGAAGCTCTTGGATGAGATTAGGATATTTTGTGATTCGTTGCATGGGCTTGATGAGAAGTGAATCCAGGTCCCAGGCTGCAGTCAGGTCCTTGGCCACTTCGTTACACTCGTTGAGCCAGACCTTCACCGTGGGGTCTTGCTGGATCTGAATTAAGCGTTTGGCCGCATGGTCGCTGTTTCTGAGGAAGCCCTCATGCGCCAATCTCATCTGTTCAATATGCTTCGTGAAGAGGGGACCCAGCGACGTGGCTCTATCGTTGTCGTCACCGAGTTCGGGTGCCACTGAATTCGTCGACGGGTTTCCAGTCTGTTCCGAAGCAACCGAGTCCTCCTTCGGCAAAGGGGAACGCCTGCCGTGGGGCACATAGACAGTGCAAACAGCTTCCTTAAGCCGAGCACAGAACATGGTGTGGAAGGTGATAATCTCGTCGGTATTTCTGAAAATGAGCTTGATGGTCTTGTCATCCAGTCGTGGACAAGCTTCGGCGGTGCCCTTGTAGATTTCTTCCACAATGTTCATATCCCTTACAAAGACCATCTCGGTATCGACGAGTTCTCTGATCACGTTGCGTCGTTGCACCAGGCGGTGTTTTTCTTTCCCGATCGGTCCGTCTTTCTGACTGGGTGTTGCTATTGACTCGACCGGAGTCTGGCCGCTGAGAGAATACTCCCTGGTTTCGATCGACATGTGGTCGATCGATTGGGTAGTCGAGACGGGGCGCGATACATCTTCGCTCTGACGCCGAGAAGAGCCCGCAAGGGTACTTCCGGGGAGCGTGTCGGCGTAGATGCTGCTAGCTGCCGTTCGCCTATCGCGGACTCGTGTAGACGCAGGGACTGGCGGAGGCTCATGTTCTGGCCGCGCCAAAGCAGGATCTACCTTCCGTGCTGGAAAGTGGCTCTCATCGATGTAAGGAACCGAGAAACCATCTCCAGTGTCCAACTCCGGCAGCTGATGAATGGTCGCACGGTTGGATGGCTGAGCGGCTGCTGTATCCGATGGCGCAAAGTCAGGGCTGTAATGTTCACTCTGTCGGGCGGACGAGTCTCTGCTAGAGACCGATCCAAAAGTCGACTCGGACGCATAGGGCGGCTTGGGGATTGGGAGGACATCGTCGAAGGCCGAGATTCTGTGGTGAATGGGTTCGTCGCTGTCGACCGAGAAATCAGTCCATGCGGATTGTTGGCTGGTCCGGTTCACAGTCGCATGCATGGAGGGAACCATCAGGCTGCGGGACGTGTCGGGAGTTTGCTGGCTTTCGAGGCTCGTTTTATGAGGATCATCTTGCGGATCAGAGGACTCGCAAGTAGATGCTCGTTGAGACGAATCATTGTCCTTGTGGTGCTCATTGTAGAAGTCTTCAGGCTTCTCGAGGGTGTCGCTCGCTGACCCCAGATCCTTCTCCGTATTGTGGTGGAAGTAAGACACATCACACACGGACCCATCCATATCCCCCATTTGACTCTGATCGTCAAAGTCATCATACGACTCCATTCTTGGGAAAGGAATTGTTTCCTGTCTAGGAGAGTCATATTCAGATTCCCGCCTGAGAATTTTGACTGTTGTTTCGTACGATGAGCTCGAGAAAGGAATTGGCTCATATTCAGACATCGGCCGCGAGCTGGCAAATGCACCAGGAACCGCCGGTTCATCGAACTCGCTTCTCGTCGGGGTCGGTTCAGGCGATTGATGGGACGACGTTGGTTCCAACGAGATCTTGATCGAAACCGCGTCGTCACCTACGGACTCATCCTCGAATGGGTACTGGTATTCCGCTTTTTCTGGTGTGGGCAGTCGTTGCTCTTCCTCGGCTTCAGCCTTCTCCAGCGCTGACGGCGGAGGCTGCTCTTCGACTTCGGCAGTCTCGGCCTCCAAATGTAGCTGGATTTCCTCGGGCTCGTTCTTCTCGGGGGTTGGCGCACGTCGCACTTCGTCCAGTTCAGCCTGCTCGTGGTTGCCGTCGGCTTGAATAATTGTCAATCCGAGCCCAGTAGGAGGTTGCGCAGACTCTAGCTGCACGGGTGGAAGTTCCTGTGGCTCATTATCAAACTCGGTAGTCTCCGAAGTGGCCGAGATTGCGGATTGCGGGATTTCTTCTTCTCTCTCGAAAGGAGGGCTCAAGGCCGGGAAACTGCCCGGGATGCCCAGCGTAGGGGAGTCTGCAGCTTGAGGCTGAGGCGGAGAGAGGGAAACGATGGGTGGCAATATCGTCGAAATCGTTAGTGGCTGAGGCGACTGCGCAGGCGATGGAGGCTGCGCCGACGGTTCCGGTGCTGCAGAAGGTTCCTCCAACGGCTTCTCGAAGGTTTCGTTATGATCCACTGGAGGCGATTCGGCTTCAATCGGCGGGACCGGCGGAATCTCTTCCTCCTCAGTAGCAGCAGATTCTTCGTCCTTCTTGCGTTTCGCCGCTGCCTGTTTTGCATCGCGCACCTGACTATCGCGGATAGACTTAGTATACGCCAGTCTGATGTGTTCGCGCCGTTGCTCAAAGTCAATAGGGCCCACAGAGATCTTTCGTCTTCTAGTCGTTGATGATCCATCGGGCTTCAGGGACTGCTTCGGCGCAGGCTTATGCGGCGATTTGGACCTATCAACGGCTTTCAAGCGCGAACTTGCCGTGGTGGCTGTCGATACAGACTGCCGGGGTCGAGAACTGCGCAGTGGAGGAGATAGCTTCGGAGGTGGTGCTGCCACATATGCAGTGAGGCGGGTGTTGTTATTCGGGGTCACGAGACCTCGAGGCGCAGGTTTTCGTCCTGGCGTCGCTTGAGTAGGTGTTTTTGCTCGAGTAGGTGTCTTGGCACGATTAACAGGTGTAGTTGTCCGAGCTGTCTTAGTTGCGGGCGCCGGGCGCTTGAAAGTCGATGGAGAGTTAGCCCTAGAGCTTTCCCGTGTTGATGGCGGGCTGTTCGAGTCGCTTGAGTTGGCCAACTTGCGTACAGAAACGGGAAGGCGTGATGTAGGTGATGCTGCTCGTCCAAACTGCTCGACCTCTGCCATTGGCCGTGATGCAAGAGCCTTTCTCACCAGAGGCGCTCCAGCCTTTGACGCGGCCACATCACTATGTGCCCGAACATGACCTCTAGCATTGGGGACCGAACGTCCTACTGAAGTATTCGACTGTGTCGTTGCGGCTCGGTACCAATCAGTTGGGGAAGCCGGCTCGACGAGGTCGGGGTCGGATTTCGTCCTTTGGTGGAGCTTAGCCACATGTATACTGGACTCTGAAGTCCGCCGCGGTCGTGAGCCCGAACCCTCGATTCCGAATCCTACGGCCAAGGTGTCACGCTGTTCTGGAAGGATTTCGCCGAAAAGCAGACCGGGCGCTCTCGGAGAAGAGGGGGGTAAAGAAGGTGACTTGTGCTGCAGGTTTGTCATAGACTTGGATGCATGTGCAATGCCCGTAGCTGAAGTTGTATTCCGCGGCTTGGCGATTCGACTGGCGAAAGATTGCGAATTGTTTGACAACTGATCCTCGGCGACATATTTCGTTCGTTGCGTTCGAGCGGCCGTTCCTCTGCTAGTGTCAGGTGTCAGTTCACGGTTCGTCGAGGCCCTCAGTGTAGAGTATGATGTTGACCCGCTTCCACTCGGTGTAGTTTTGTCGATGTTTGTCGCGGCTCTGGTCGGTCGAATAGGCACGCCTCGCACAGGGATTCTGGGCATCGATGGAGCTGGGGACGAGGTCTGCTGATCAAATCTCTTGGTCAAGTCCTTGACGCTCGGCTTGCGATTTGTGTTTGTTCTAGGGGCGCCAATTGGGGGTTCGACAGGAGCAGAAGCAGATCGCTGCGAAGGGCGCAAGGGCGTACGGCTTGCGGGAGCCGGCGGGTGCTTTGGATCTTTGCCATTGCCGTTTGGCCGCATGGCCGGGTTCTCGCGAGCTCGAGATACGGAGGTCGCCATGTAGTCGTAATCTGAAGAAGGGGTTCGTCGATGATGATTTGACGACTGTACGCCTCGGTAGCTTCGGTAGAAATCATCCGGGTTTACTGAATCGTGGTCATGACCAGCGGCGGCGAAAGCCCCAGCCGTGTGTGCGGCAGAGGCATGCAAGTTCTCGAGCGTGAAGGCGTTGGTAGTGGGGCTGCTAGGGATGTAATGGCGATGAGATTGCTGAGAGGGGGTCTGAGATGAACGGTGGTAACGATCGGAATCGGAATCGAGGTCGAAGTCGGAGTCGTGATGGTCGTAGTGGGAGTCAAAGTTGGGTTGACGATGAAGTTGGTGAGGGTACTGAGGAGGAGAAGCTAGAGGTTGCGGTTGGTGGTGCTGGAGATGGACCTGGCGTTGCACATTGAGCGCAGGTGCCAGGCGGTCCTCGTCTTCTGGACTGCCAGCTTCCATTGTGGCCTGAACATCAGTCAGGCGTGTCGGGTGGACTGGGTCGTCAAGAATTCCATAGACCCATGCAGGCTGTGTGGGATGTTTGGGTTGGGAAGCATTGATGTGTTGGCCTGCAAGCTGAGTGGGCAGCGACAGTTTGGAGAGGCGACGGGCAGTCCCTGGTTGGAGAGCGTTGGCAGTGTCCGGGGCCTATCGACAGCAAATCTTAATGCATAGGATGGGTGGCCGCCGCAGAAGCAGGCCGTGAGTGCAGTGCGACTTTTTGCTCTGTGGGGGTTTTATGGAGATTGGATACTTTTGCTGGAGTCGGGACGAAGAGAGATCTGCAAGTGCTTTTTCCGCGATTGTGTTAATTTTGTCCCTTTTCCCAGGGCGGGGGGGGGGGTTGTGGTGAGGTGGTGAATCGGACGCAACGAGATGGGATGGCAAGAGCGAGGTTGGAATGGTGGGAAGGCAAAAGGCAAGGGCAACCAACGGGAAAGGTGAGGTCAAGATAGGTTGGTTGGTAGGTAATTAGGCAGGTAGGGAGAGGCACAGAGAGACGCACGCGTGCACGCACACTCACACTTGCACACTCACAGATTGCCTTTTTTAGCGCACTGAGCAAGTGCGAAGCGGGAAGGCAGGAGGAGGATACCGGTACCTTCTCCCTCCGCGCTAATATGTGTGAGTGAGGAGATGGGGGGGAGAGAGGAGAGGGGCCGGAGAGGTGTGTGTACGGAGTATGTGCGTATGTCGCCTACCTTACCTCAGGGTACCTTGTGGGCGCGGTGTATGTGTAGTGGGAAAGCCAGAAGGAGCCGTCGTCTCCATTGGTAGTTATTAGCTCCTACCTCGAAAAAGGCACTCGTCGACGATGGGCGAGAGCCTGGGAGGACGTGAAATGGCACAGGGAAGGAACGAGGAGCAGAATTAGCGCAGTGCCTTCCATTCTTGCGACTGCACCAAAATCGCAAAATTGCCAGGCAGGTGCAAGTTTGGGTCGGCACGGCACGTAATCATCCCGTCTGCACCTGCTTCTTTTGCAACAAGCGAGGCATAAAAGACTCTGGTAATTGCAAATTTATTAGCTACCTGTGGGAAGCAGCGGACGAGCATCCGCGTAGTGTACGGAGTATGCGCGGTATGCAGTCAGGTCGTGGTCAACGGGATGAGCTGAGACGGCAAGTGGGGACAGTAGATGCGAAAGGTGAGGCTATCGTCCAATCGGTCAAAATGAATGCGCTTCGGTCAGAGTGGCAGCCGGGACAAGATGGAAAGCAAACAGGATTGGATCATTGGACGTCGGGTGCAAGGTACGGAGCACGAACTGGTCGGGCAGCTTGGCAGTAATTCGTATGTCAGGGAGGGGAAACGGCCCAGGTATTCCTTCCAGAGAGGGAGACGGGAAAGAAAGGGAGGGGATGACGGCAGGTGCTAGATTCAGTTCGGTAGGTCTGTCCGGACACTCGGGAAAGAGGGAGCGAGACCCGGGCCAGGACCCGGGAAGGCGTAAGGGGGTCGTCTCTGCACACAATCTGGGACTATCACATAATGCCTAATTAAGTCCATGCCTGCCTCATGGATAGGAAACAATTGCCACCAAAGCCCAACGTAGATGAGTAACGCTGCTGGCGTCGATAAAGACAAAGTAAGTGGATGTGGTGTGGAGAGAGAGAGAGAGAGAGAGGGACAGAAAGACAAAATTGACTGCAACTTCCAGTGTCGCATCCAGGTTGAGATTCAGGTACGGATACAAACAAAGTACGTACTTCTCGACCGGAACGCATCAGAATCGCGGAGCAAAAAAGCACAAGACACCACGGGTACCCGGCGTCTGATTCATAGGCACACCGTACTGCGAGTGCTATGTAAGGTACGAAGTACAGGAAATAAGACGTCAATTTGCAAAATGTCCGTCTTCCCCTGTCAGCCTCCACTCGACTGTTTGGACCTTGGAAAACATGGCATGGGCATGGTTTTGTCTCCAGAGAGACCCAGAGAAGCAAACTCCAAACTCCGCTGCAAGATTGATGAAGTTTGTATTTTGTCCAGGGCATCCGTCTTTGCTCTTCCATCTTGATACGCTCGCTTTGGCAGGCAGGCCACAAAAACAAAAGGCAATCTCGATTCGAACGATTCAGGATCTATCGTCTTGCTGGGGTAAATTCCTCTGCTATATGGCCATCCGCCCCTTTCCCTTCCAAAGAGGCAACATTTTATTCTTTCGCAGCACAAAGTCAAACTCTGGTGCGTCCCTTGGCCCTCGCTTCGTCCCGTCTTAGAATGGTCTTGCGGCGCCTGAGTAAGAACTCAAGACATTGGAGAAGGGGGAATGCGCCTGGAGTGCATTGACGGTCCCCGTATCCAGACGATAAGCCTTTTCATCCGCGAGGTAATACAAGAAGGGGGGGGGGGGGCCACAGAAACATCCAAAAGACGATTTAGAGAATGCCAAGATCGTACGGACACAACAAACATCAGACGTCACCACCAATCGGTCAATACTTTGGGCGGGAACCGAAGCCAGAGAGCGGCGGGGCCCGGCTCATGCAGTTCATGGGTGATTGGCTGCGAATGTTCAAAATGACGGCAAACTGGCAAGCATTCCACGAGGTCAGAGGAGTCAATCTTCATGCTGGGAACCCTCGTCGATGGTACGATGCTGTACCGCAAGGCTTAGATCAAAGCCACGGACGAGCAAAGGTCAAATATATTGACAGATACGTACTCCATACTCCGCAAGGTGCAGTACGGATACCGCTCTATCAGAGTTTCCTTCCTCCATGATCCATCCGTTCGGCACCGACAACGGAGCTGGAGGGGGGCGGGAAACAACATAATAGCGCACCTCGTCCCGAAACGGTCAAAGTCGGGTCGAGACCGAGATTGTGGTGGTTGTGGTAACCGGTTGAGGTTGCAATCAAGCCAAGTACTTTCAGGTCCCGGGTTGGAACATCCGAGAGAGTTAAGTTGCTTTCTTACGACAGGATGACTTCAAGGTTCCTATGCAGATGGCTCAACGCTCAACAGCCCAATGCGGCTGACCATTGATTCTATGGCCGATAGCCATACGCCAACTGATCTGCTTTGGGATCAATATGCGCAGGCCGCAGGGCACTGGGGGGATCCGTTTCGATGAGGGGAGCGAGGGAACGGTGTTGGGAGCCCGGGCACCTATATCAGTGCTACTATCGACTTGCGTCCATACGGATGCTCCGTCATCACCATGTCGCCGTAGTGCAATCATTCGAGGCTGACATACAGCCTACCATATGTACGCGACTATGACCCGGGGACCGGCGGTCGTTGAGAAAAGAGATCCTACTTGCCACTGCATTGCATCCTGCGGGCTTACGCAGGCAGGCTGGACAAGTTGGGGAACAGGCGCAGCTCGTATTCTGACCGAAGATGCAGAGAAGTAATTCGACGCTCTCGGTCTTGAGGCAGGGAAGTCCCGTCAATGGCCCAATGCAACTCCGGAGTCTGTGCTTGGCTTAAGACATGTTGCTATGATGTGAGGGCTCAGTGCAATCAATGGATGGATGGCCAACCCAGCTCGACCTTCCTTGATGTAGCTCCCCCGCCTCTCTCATCCAAGACCTGGGTTCAGGAAGTGGCTTAGTCAGACTCATAGGCTTGGCCATCTGCGCCCTACATGTTGATGTTGTCAAATACTGGACTCTCTCTCCATCTGTTCTTATTGATGTATCAAGGTTGGAACAGTATGGAACATCAACAACATCAACTAGTAAGAAAAAACAATACTAGGCACAACCTGGGGCTTCACAAGGACGCTAATACCCTGATTGCAGAAAATCTTTTGGCTATTATGAAACGCGATCCACGTCGACCCAGCTAACTGGCTCGTTCCTGTGAACAAGACCGAACCGTCTCTTCCACAGACAAGGAACCCTTTCCCCCAGGCGTTCACTCCAATTATGAGCCGAGCGATTTTGGAAAAGTCGGTTCATCGTAGCACCGCAGGACAATTCTCCTGACCGCGCGCCACCGCCCGCTTTCCGCTGCCCTTGCATACACAGTAGAGCTCAGCCAGGTTCTAGTCTCCAGGCACTGCCAGGCTTACAAGTGACGATGCACATTATGGTTAGACGGAGGTAGTGCAAGCCCTGCAAGTGTGCAGGTGCATCTTGGTACAGCGTACGTACATGGCATAACGCCTTGGAGATATCTGAGCTAAGCTGAATGCCGGTGGTGTCTAGTCTGGGCCAAGATACATATGGTAATCCACAAACAGCCAGTGTCCACTTGCCCTGCTTGATTTATTCAGACTATCCGAACGCATACATAGTAAACCTCGTGACCTTGCTACGTATCCGTACAGCACTCTCCTAACAGAGTGTGACTCCCGAGACCAGGGCAAGTTTGAGAGGCCGACGAACCCGCTCAGCCCCAGCGTGCCTTGACACTTGAAGAATTTCCACCGCAAGGTGACGGGAGCTGGTGGACCCCCACGACCACCAATCGTCTCACCAGCCCCCCAGGGGTGCCTTAGCGTTCACAGTCTCCCACGGTCTTGCGCCCTCCTTCAGTGGCTTGAGCGTCGAGGGGCCCTGAACTTTGGCCTCCTGAAGGGCTGGCAGTTTGTACGGATACCTGTACTACGGATGGATAGGCAGCGTCATCGAGCGAAAAGTCGACAACGAGTCAACGACAGCAAAACCTCCAAAGAGGGCAAAGAGGGCAAAGCCACAGAGCTACCGGTTAGAGACGGCGCCCGTATTCGGCAGATCGTGTGGGACGTGCACTGTCGTCCCATTTTCCCCACTGCTCGATGAGCCCAGACCTGGAAGTCATCAGCCAATCAGTACGAGCTTTTCCGACCGTTCAAGCTGCGATACGTACCTGCTGCATCTTACCCGGTACCGTTAGGCTAGGTTCTTTCTTACCTTAGCAGGCTTAGGGTCCTCCGTTCACTCTGTTAAACCTCCAAGGGAATTTATTACCTGATACACTGGACCAACCAAAGACGCGTTGAGCTGTCGCGCTTGTCGACCACCAACTACGATCGACGACAGAGCACAGGTCTGATCCTCGATCTGGCCTCCGCATTCTCATTGTTGGCATTCCTCCTACACATGACTTGCATAATCGTTAGATATGACACCTTCTAGCGCGTGAGGTCAGGTCGCGCAATTCTGACTGTCGTTGATTTACAGTGGCTTTCTCATAATCCCTGTTCACCTAGTCGTGGGGTTCACACGAGAACAGGAACTCAACCACATGTCTACTTCCTTGTCAGTGTTGACATGAAATCTGGCTGTGATTATGGCGACCAAGAGGAAGTTCTTGGCACTTGAGGGTCCAAAGGATGAGCGTTCCGGAAACAAGAAATCAAAGTCGATTCAAATAAAAGGTCAGGTCAGGCACACGCTTCTACAACAGCATTATGATGTCGTGCAGACACTCCGCGAATACCTGCTTTCCAAACTGCCAGGGCCTTCGAGACTTCGCCGCAAGAAGATTGCAGCACTGGGAAAATACGAGGCACCATGGGCACGCATCCAAGACCACGACATCATACCAGAGCTTTCTTCCTTGTTAGACACAACCTTGGTCTGCACGCAACACCGCGCTGAGGCACAGGCTGACTCTCGGTGGGAGCAATGGCGGTCGTTTTCTCAGAAAGCCGACGACTCGATTGTGTCTCTCTCGGGAGAATTGGCCCAAGCTACTTCCTCGCAGTCAGAGGTAGGCCACTGCTGCGCGATCAATCTGTCTCCAAGGCTGACCGTCAAACACAGATCGTTGACTTCGTTGTGTGGCAAATATTCAACAGGCACGCTGCTCGGCCGAAGCATCTCCTCTGCGATGGGTTCAGGAGGCAGGCTCAGAACATTACCGATACAAAAGGCCACAATCGCGATAGCGGGATTCAGGGGCTGGTCGCAGTCGACCCGAATCATTACGTGCAGGCCCTCAAAAAAGCCCCTTGGCCACAAGTACTCATGCTGCTCGGGAAATCAGGAGAGCAGATCATGATAGATCTCCTCATTGATACGGCGATATTTCTCCCTGTGAGAGCCGGTCTCGGCAACATGTACCAGCTCAGTGGTATTCCCATGTCAGAGACGGGCGTAGCCGCGAATCAGGACATTAAGAAACAGACAAAAGGAGATGCCACAGCGCCGCCACCCATACCTCAGGAGCGGCTCCCGTCAGAAATCAGCTTCATCAGAAATCGCATGCTCTACGCTCGAGCTGCTCTGACAGCCAAGGGCACGGTTCAATATGGAATGCGGCACATACGTAAGTTGGCATCCAACCAAAGGCATAGAGAGACTTCCCCTGACGCCGATCAACAGATGTTCTGAGTCGTTGTCCGCGTCTATCGTGTTCAGAACAGGCACCCGAAGAAGAGAAGTCAAGAACGACACAGTCGAATGAGCGCAACACGCTGAAAGTCATGATGTACATCTTCCCTCGACAATTCGGCTTACACAACGCCTTCACCTCCAGAGTAGACCACTCCAAGACATCGCAAAGGTTTGCAGACTACACTCTCCGCGAAGACGAGATCTCATCAACATTCAAGGGGCGGGATATCAAGCTTCCAAGGCGACTGCGCGGAGACGCAAAACGACTGGTACAGAGGCTACAACTTCTCCACGGTCGTTGTGCTTACGCTGAGATACTGCGGCACTATTGCTCTTCTGCCGTTGATGTCAAAGCCCGGAAATCCGTCTCAAAGAAGCCGGTGAAGCAGTTCAAGAGACTTGATCCTACACCGATGGCGGGAAGAGACAGCCAGATAGTCGCTACATCTGGTGCGCCCAGAAATAGCACGCAGAACCGCCCGAGGCTTCACCAAGCCGCGGCACCTCCGCCGTTGCCCAAGTTTGATGTGATCACTGACTTGGCGACTCCCGTAGCTCATGTTTCCGCGTTCTGTCAGGCTGTACTGGTCAAGATCATTCCAGATGAGATGTGGGGCACTGGCGAGGACGGAACTTACAACAAGAGTCAAATACTGAGGAAAGTCGACCACTTTGTCAAGCTGCGGAGGTTCGAGGCCATGTCCCTCTGTGAGCTCGCAGACGGGCTCAAGGTAAGCAGTGCTCTACTTCTAGTGGATTCTATCTAACACATCCATTAAGATTACCAGTATGGAGTGGCTGGCGCCTCCAAGTCTCAAACGCCAGAAAACCAGCCTGACTGACATGAAGAAACGACATGAGATTATGAACGAGTTCTTGTACTATATTTTTGATTCGCTATTGATACCCCTTTTGCGCAGCAATTTCTACATCACAGAGTCGAGCTCTCACCGTTATCGTCTGTTTTTCTTTCGGCATGACGTTTGGCGATACGTCGCAGAACCAGCAATGGCGACTCTCCGAACAAACATGTTTGAGGAGATCAAGCTTGATCGGGCTACCGCAATCCTCGACTCTAGGCGACTGAGCTTCAGTCGTATCAGGCTTCTGCCCAAAGGAAAGGGTATGCGGCCGATCACGAACCTACGAAGGAGAACAGAGGTCAGGGGCAGGAGCTCCATTCTCGGCCCAAGCATCAACACCGTGCTTGGCCCGGTACATTCCATTCTCAAACTCGAAACGGTGACCCTCACCAATCAATAACTGTGTCATCTATCTAGTTGCTAATTGTCTTTACAGCAAAGCAACCCATCCAGGCTTGGATCATCCATGTTTTCGGTGGGCGATCTCTATCATCGCCTAAACGCCTTCAATGCCAGATTTGGCAACTATCGGCCAGCATTCTACTTCGCCAAGGTAGACGTGCAGTCGGCTTTCGACACCATTCCTCAGGAGGCCGTGATTAGGCTGATGGATGGCGTTCCGAGTCAAGAAAAATACATAATCAAGAAGCATGTCGAAGTCAAAGCCGGATTACTGGATTCTCGACATCAGAAGAATACGATATCAACAGTCACGCGGCGGTGGCATTCCATCGCCGTCACCTGCAACGATACCACCGATTTTTCGCAGCTGGTAGAGAAGCGCCTCGGCTTAAACCGCAAGAATACCGTCTTCGTGGGGAACACGATGAGGAAGGAGCTAGAGACGGAGGCGCTAATGACGCTGATGGCATCGCATATCAAGCAGAACCTCGTCAAGGTGGGCAAGAAGTTTTACAGGCAAAAGAAGGGCATTCCACAAGGCTCTGTACTCTCTTCCGCTCTGTGCAACTACTTCTACGCCGACCTCGAGGCGCAGCATTTGTCGTTCCTGTTTGAAAGTGAGGAGCAGGAGGAGGAGGGAGATTGTCTGCTCCTGAGGCTGATTGATGACTTCCTCCTCATCACGACGGACCAGGCGAAGGCGCGCAGGTTCGTGCGGGTCATGCACGGCGGGCTGCCCGAGTATGGAGTCGCTGTCAGCCCCAATAAGACCTTGGTCAACTTTGACATGGACTTTGATGGTACGAAAGTAGCCAAGCTTTCAGACGGTGCTCGGTTCCCTTATTGTGGATTGGGCATCGACTGTGATACCCTCGACATTGTCAAAGATCGAGGTCATGTCAAAGATACAGGTAAGCTCTTTATTTTGCCATCCCAAGGAGGTACACGCCGTTAGCTAACATTGCCATCAGTGGTCTCCAATGCGTTGACAGTGGATTACGGGAACAAGCCCGGCCAAAATTTCCAAAGAAGAGTATTGAGTACGTCTTGCAGCCTTACCTCCATATAGGTAGCCCTCACTCATGTGAACTCGATCAACTAACCTTGATGTCATCTGCTATCCAGACGCCTTCAAGATCCAGTCCCACCTCATGTTCTACGACACCAAACACAACACCCTCAAAACCGTCATGTTCAACCTCCACAAAGCCTTTGCCGAGACGGCCGAGAAGATGTGGGCGTACTGGCGCTGTCTGCCCACCAGCAAACGACCCGCTGACGGGCTTATCATGCGTATGTGTGTTCTTTATTCCGCTGAAAACACCATGTTTGCTTTTTAAAAACCTGGCCTTAACTTTACCTCTTTCGACTAACGACGTTCATTTTATCTTGCCACAGAGACTTTGGCGAAAGTAATCGACGTGGCTTTCAGCCTGCTCACGAGCAAGTCTCGGAGGGAAAAGTACCCAGAGTACGATTGCGCCGCGGAGAAGACGCATGTTGCATGGTACGTATTTCTGCCCTCATCCCCAGACACTTTTGTTCTAGACGCCCCGCGTTATCTTGGAAGTGAACACCCGCGCGCTAACTGGAATACTCGCTCCCAAAGGCTCGCCCTCGATGCAGCGAGGATGATTCTGGCAAAGAAACAGGCAAACTTCACGACGGTCTTGTCGTGGATCGATGAGGAGCTCGGGCGTCTCGATTCCCGGAAGACGGCCCGGGCGAGGAAGTACATACGAGGATGAACAAATAGACACTTACCGTTGTACAAGATACATCACACAAAACCTTCAAAATGGAAGGAAAAGACTTGATGTGGCCCTGTGTGCGTGTTTCTTTGGAAACAGAATCCTCCTTGCCAATCACAACAGGCCGGATGGAACTTGAACTCCCTCTTGTTTGTCTCGCTCGGCACTCATCCACTGCCCTCTTCTGTGTTACAGATCACCTATTCGTATCGAACACGTCGACCACTGTTGCGATAAAACTATAGGGAAAGTGCCTCCCTGTACCACCCGGGAACCCTGTTGCTTGCCGGGCAGCACTTGGACATTGAGCTTTTTGTGTGATGCGAGAGTTGTCGTGTGAGGCGAAAGCACCAGATTTATCCCGAAGGCGAAGTAACGTAACCAATGCCTCAAAGAGGATAATAAGCAAGACTTTTTTTCCAAGCGTAAAGTTGACGATTATCGAGCCTCACATAAATAGTAACCAGCACTGCAGCCCTCGATCTTGACTAATTTCGCAAAAGGAGGTGTTTCAAACAAGCTACGACGATGGCTCTCGGAGAAACTATGAACGAGCAAGAAAGATTCTTCCTGGAGAAACTCGCCGCAGCGTCCGGGTACCCAGATTCCCTTTTCTACCAAGACGAGCGACGAGCGGCGCGAAAGGCACGCGCCGAGCATTATGCCGAGAGGAAACATCAAGTCTTTGACGAGGATCTGGGGAGACGGAAGGGTAACCCGTTGATCATCATTGACTTTGGCACGGGCGGGTCTGCGTCTCCGGCCGAGGCGGCGGGCGATATAGAAATCGACGAGGTTTCCAGTGAGGAGAGGAGTGGAAAGAAGGCCAACTTACACATCATACGCAACATTGAGAAGTTACGAAACAAGCTGTGCTGGCCGGATCCGAAGCAAGGCACGTGGGAGCCCGGGTACCTCAAGAAGGACCCTCCCCTACGAGTGATGTGAGTCCGCTCACCGAAAGCATTCATCCAGCGCAACAGCAAAAAAAAGGGGCACTAACGTCATCAAACAACAGCCTGCTAGAGCGCATGTGGCCTACCTCGCTGCTGCTAAACCTCAGCGAAGACGTGCTGCTGGAGATCCTAACCTACCACCAGATTCCGGCTCACTTCCTGACCTTCGTCACCAGCGGTGGCGACTCTTGGAGCTTCGCCAGCAGCATGAGCTTCGCGGGCTTCAAAGGCTGTACGAAGACCCTCTCGGACCCTGGTCAACAGCAGCCCACCAGCTTGGCGGTGCTGGGTCGCAGTGGTAGGCACATTCGGATCTGCCTCACCTTGTTCAGCATTCGCGAGTATGCCTTACATGCGCTACCTCGAGACGCGGACCCCGCGAGAACGCCGCGGTGGGAGACGCACTCCGCGGTTGTATACGTCCATTTTGACATTGTCGACGGCACGGCGGTGTGGTTACTCGCTAGCCCCCGATCGTATCATCCGGAAAGGGGGGAAGGGACGCAGAACCTGCTTTGGAACGCTTTGAAAGACGGCATGGCAAATGATATGGGTGCACTACGGTCACTTGACGTCCCCGAGCGATTCCGCATTAGTCTTGACAATCTACTTGCCGCCGCCGAGTGGTCCATTGGGATGTTTTCGCATCACGTCCAGGACACGGAGAAGAGGCTTCATGACTTGGTGAGTCCATTTTGTGCCACATGAAATGAGAGGCGCAGCAGAGCCGGAGCTATATTAAGATCCGATCCAGACCAAGCCGTACGTGTATCCGTATGACGATGACGAGATGGTGAATGACAAGGCAAGCGAATCTATCCACGCCCAGGACCTCCGGAGAATGGCGTACTTGATGGAAACTCGGCATGGCAGTGTCATGAAAGTTGAAAATAACCTTCGGGTTCTCTGCCGTCTTCGAGGGTTTTTCGTAGAAGACGTGGCCGGGCATCTCGGCTTTCTAAGAGAAACCCAGGCTAATGAGATCCGGACGCATGTTAAAGGTTTTGCGGAGAATTTGACATTGGTGACGGCAGAGATCGAGGACTTGTTGGACAGGGCATCAGCACTGGATAAACTTGCGAGGAACAGAGAAGAATACGTACGTGGCGACAAAGGGTGCTCAGTCATGGGGGGCGAAGGCTAAACGGTCTAGATTCAACGGTTGCAAACGCATCACTCGACTCAGCAGATGAAGAAAATCGCGGTGTTGACGGCGGAAGACTCGTCCGCGATGAAGCAATTGTCTTTCATCGCCCTGATTTTATTACCAGTTACGGTCGTATCAGTAAGCCAAGATAGGCCCCGTCGAGCATTGTTGTTGAAGAGAGGCAGAACCCGAATGCGCTGATCGGATGTTGTAACCAATCATGTTTTATGCAGACCGTTCTCAGTACGGACATTGTCAAGTTTCAGGACCTTTCGAACGAAAACGAGAATGCCACCCGAGGCACGTCCGAAAGCCCCGTTCCGACGTACAACTTTTCGGTGGCGGCCTTTGGCACATGGGCAGTCGCCAGCGTACTCATGACTATCGCTACTTTAGTCCTTGTCAAGCCGGTAGGGAACCCGAGGAGGCAAGGCGGCAGCAGTGTAGATTCTGTGACGCACGAACCTCTCATGGCGGAAACAAGGAGATCTCGACTGATGGCGCTTTTGTCTGATGCGTGGAATATTCGAGACAAGTTCGACTCAGCCGTAGACTCTTCGTCCAGCAATGCCAGGCCCAGGCCACCGAGCCCGGTGACTTCGGCACTCGCGACTTCGATACACACGGCTCCGATAGTCGTTAAGACGGCATCAAAATCGCGAGAGATTCCGGTGGTGGATGGAGACTCTCCCGTGCGTGCCGAGTCGTCTCAAACTTGGACGTCGATGGGGTGCTGGCTGGGTGATGCTTGGAACATAATGTGGCTGTTTGCAAAGGATAAGCTGAACATGACGGAGATGGCGACGACACCTCTACCACGATGGGATAGTCGAAGAGACGAGGGGCGAGAAGATGGGCAGAAATCGCGGGGAGAGGGTTCGTGAGTGCATGGTGTCTTAGCATGTTGGTTTAAGGCACAAGGTTATCCGAAAGGTAATGTAAGGTAGGGTCGCATCGTCTAAGTGTTGGATTCGGAGAAATAGGATCGGGCACGGCAGATTGACACATGCCAGATCCCCTCGGTCCCTTGCTACCCTCCGAATCTCCAAGGCTGCAAGGTTATCTGACAGACTCAGCTCCTGTGAGCCGCATCTTTGTTTCTATGTTTCTTTTGGTAAATTGCCACTTTCGATATGGACTCGGTGTGTCCTCTAGTGGTGTTGCGTTGACCGGGATGTTGACATGAAAAGAAGGTGGTATGTTGACGGTCGCAGCGGTGGCCGAGGAAACCTAGACAAAGCTCACCATGGCCCGACGATAGATAAGAAAAGTAGATGAAGATTCAAGCTAAGACCTAAGATCGTAATGTGGCAGTGCTTCTACCTTACCCTCCGTACTCGTGTATGCATTGTCGTTTCTTCGAGCGAGCACTTTCCCATACTGCGGTATACTAGAGGTAGGTAGGTGCAGATGAAGGAAGGAGTCTCCTGGTGCTGAGGTAAGGCACCTTCATGACGCTGATGCATAGGAGGTTTTAGCGAATCAGCCCACTATACGCAGGTAGCGGGCGACTGAGCCCACCAGAAACGGCCCCCATGATTCGTCTTCTTCGGATCCGACAGGGAGCCACCTAGCCTGGCCGATGATTTTCAGGGAAGGCCCCATCACCCGAGGCAGGTGCCGTGCAGAGATGGTGGCGGGCCGGGAAGCTTGCGTGGGGCGGGCCTTCCACACTCTTGCCTCTTCTGGCCGCACGACTTACGGTGCAGGTGCAGGGGAAGCAGAAAAAGGAGTGGGCTCCGGCTCTTTCACAGACCGGCGGCCTTGTTGACGTCAGACGAAAAGATGCGGCGGCTTTGCGTACCTTACGCTCGTCTCCCGCCGGCTCAGCTTACCACGCTTACCACGCCAACACGCCTTGTTCCATTGAATTAGACAGAAAACACAAGTGTAGACCGCGAAAAGGGCAAACGAAAGAAAGGCCAGCGAAGACAATACCCTTACCCTGTCTGTTAGTTCCATTCGTCTATTTCCCTTTGCCCATCACCTCGCCCACTATCTTACACCCCGATACTTGATCCATCCTTGCTCGCATGACACTGCCATCCAATCCTCCTTCTACATCCTGCTACCTATTTGAGATCTCAGTTTTGTTTCCAAAGGGGCGAAACACATCTTGACTTGCCATGCTCTGTGGACGACAGAAGCACGCACACACTCACACCCACTCGCCTTATCCATAATTATCATCCAACTCACCCACACACACGCCACATGTTGCATAATTTCAGCCCATCGCACTGCTGCTAGCCCGGGGCCTTTATCTTTGAACCCTCGTCTCTATCTGACAGTCTGCCTACCTTGCCCCAATTCAAACCGGTTGCGGGCTCTTGGACCATCCCGTTCTGCCCTCTCGCGACAACCGTACTCGGGTTCGCTTTGGAAACGACATCTGACGACTTGGTCCAAGCACGCCGAAATCCACGAGGGCATTGGACCAAATTCTGCGGTAGACTCTTGTTAGACATTGGAACCATATCAAGCGTTCTCAAGAGGCTTCAAGTATTTACTGCTTCCTTCCTCTCTAACCATTAAATCCTGGTTGTGGCTAAGCTAACGCCTCCGTCGCCTTTCCGTACTCGGAGACTCAGCCGTGTCTCGTTTATCTCGTGTAATGTGCGAGTCAGACAGATACGCAGCTAGCTGCAGTTAATGCGGTCTTTATTTATACAACACTTCATCCTCCCTTCTTCCAACCTCTCTTGGCTCACCATCACCGATTACCATTAGGCGTTCGAAGGGTCTATGTCCTGGAGCAAAACAGTTAATGCTGCAGTCCAAGGAAGCTACTCAGACCGAGAACAATATGGCAGTCGACATCACCACGACACTGGGTATTCCAGGCCTCACCACACCGGTATTAGCAAACGCCACAAAGCCCAGCCTTGCCAACATCAGCGCTCCCTTGCTTGCCACCATAGTACGCGATAGCTACCGTGCTACCTTCAAGGCTCGCGTCGCCGCCGGTGAAGCACGACCTTTTGTACTTCCTTACGGCATATTTGCCAGCTTCATCGTTCCCATCCTCTACTTGACCTTTCCGCACACAAAACGGCCATGGCTCTACAAGGCAAGATGGCTCGTGCTAGCCTTCATCGTCATCTTCAATATCGACATCTTGCTAGGCACCTCTAGCACCAACATGTCCATCTCTTATTCTAGCGGTTTGTCAGCCTTCTGGGGAATACTGTCTAATTTCATTATGCTGGTATTCACGGCACCACAATTCGACTACGAAAGAGTTGTTCGGAGGAGAAAGGCTACCACTATCCCCAATAGATCCAAGTCGTCTGCGGATCGCGCAGCTCCAATAAACGGATCCGGGTTCAGGAAGCGAACTGGTAGCAAGAAGCGGAAAGCTGACCAAGTCACGGCCCCTGAAGTCAACCTTGAAGAGTACGAGTACTACTGGCAGACTTTCCCAGAGAATGGGTCTTTCTCGGAACGGCTGGGCTGGGTCATCGACCTCTATACTAATTTCAGAGGAGTCGGTAAGAAAGCGTGTTTCCCCATGCTAAAGCGAGCTTTGCACTAATATAAATCAGGTTGGACTTGGGCTGTCTCGTCAGTTCCCAGTCCAATTCCCCCGGAGAACCCTGGCACGGGTGAGCTCGTCAAGATGGAAACCATTCCGTTGGAAACATTCGTGGGGTGTCAGACCTACAAAGACGAGAAAGAATTCTTGCGACGGAAGGTTATCCCCATCGCAATCTCGTATATGATCCTCGACATCGCCAAGGTTGCCATCATGGAGGACCCATACTTTTTCCTCGGACCCGAGTCGTTACCCCTTCCTGCTCATCTCGCGGCTCTCCCACCATGGGCTCTATCCATATGGCGGCATGCTTCTGTACTCGGTATTCTCTACGCCGCACTCGTCATGGTCTTCTCCGTTCATGACCTGTTCCAGTACTACGTCCTCAGCAAAGTCTTTCCCATGCGGGGTGAGCTGTGGCAATACTCCACGGTATTCGGTTCCTTTACACAGATCCTGGACAGAGGCTTGGCTGGGTTCTGGGGAGCTTGGTGGCACCAGACCTTCCGACATGCTTTCTCTGCACCAGTCAGTTGGGCTGTAAAACGTGGCTATCTCGAGAAGGGCACGCGAAGCACAAAGGCAATCGGAATGTCTACCGCCTTTCTTCTTTCTGGTCTGCTTCACGGCTCAGGAAGCGTCAGCGCGATCCCTGAGACCAAGTGGTGGAAGCCAGCGCTCTTCTTCTGGTTGTCGGGGCTGGGCGTCCTCACTCAGCAGACGTTCTGTACCGCCATGAAGTTCCAGATCACGAAGATGCCTCGCACGCTTAGGAGAGCCGGGAACCTCTTATTCGTGCTCATATGGCTGCACGTCACCGTCCAGCCGTTGGCCGACGACTTTTCGCAGACTGGTCTCTGGCTCATGGAGCCCGTCCCGGTTTCGGTCGTGCGGGCCCTCGGCTTCGGTCGCGGGGAGACGTCGTGGTGGAAGCCTGATATGGAAGCGATTGGACATTGGCATGTTGGACAGCATTGGTGGGATTCTGGCTTCAGCTACTAGAGCATCGGGCGCAAGCCCTACCCTCATGTTATGATATGATGAAGTAATGTGTTGGCTTTTTTTTTGTAGATAAAACTTTAGGGGAGATATGCCTTTTCTTTCGCCTGCTGCATCTCCTCCGACCCCAAATGCCCATTCACTTTGACGTGATCTGCGCCTCCGCCCTTGTGCTGCTCTGTAGGATCGTTTCCGGCCCGGAGCTTCTCGAGCCCATTCTCCTCCTCGGGTGTGAGTCTTCGCGGGACAACACATTCCTAGTGGTCGTTATCCTGGGATCGTGTTAGTGAGCCTAGTATGTTGGTCGGTAAGAGGGGGTTAAGCACAAACCAGCTTGACTACAATGTGTCTGTGAGGAAAGACTTGATTCAGGTACGCCTCCACGACGGGTTTCTCGAGGCCGCAGATGGGGGTCATATATCCGTATTGTATCCTCGAGAGGAGAAAGCTGCGCACGGCGGTGTTCATCTTGTGCTCCTGAGCGTCTCGTCTTCTTGCTCGATCCTCGAGTGAGCTTGTTTGGTGGTGATGTCAGACAGTCGCTGTCGCCTGTTCTTCATCGGAGTTGGAGGTTGGGCGATTTCCGTCAGGAAAGGGAAGAGCTGTTAGTTTTGATATCCATAGGAAGGTAGTGGGTAAGCAAGCCCGACCGGTTCGTACCTTCCGGCACATGACAATGAGGGAAGGGCCAGAGGTATATTACCCCCCCTCAAGCCCATTCCCGTCACCAGCCAGCAGGCGCCTGTTTAGGTCGACGGATCAGGTCAAACTGGCTGGGTGGTGGAGTGGTTAATGGTCGACATCAATTATGTACGCCAACTACCTAGCCTCCTCGACCACAGCCTGAGCGCACGCGGGTACCCCGAGTTCGAATCCCAGCATGAGCAACAAGAGACGTAGCCTCACCGGTGGTGAATTCTTTCTTGATGTCTGTTTTAGTTCCTCGTGCATAGGTAGGTGAATTTTTGCTAGTTGATACAAGGACGTCCTTACTTACTCCTCTCCACATATTGGGTGAGTACGGCTGCCACTTGAAGGTTCACTTCGCCACCGAGGGAAGGGGCATGTGAGCCGAACACTGGTATTCAATTGGAAAGAGAGGCTCTACTGCAGGTTTGACCTTTCTCATTTAACGAGATGGTCATTTTGTAATCGCGGCTTGTTATTCTGAACCACTCGCAGCATATGTGGTCCATCTAACCGGGCAGAATCATGTCACTTGAAGGAGACCAAGATGATGGTGTATACCGGTATGCTTGATTACTGCATACTACTGGAGTCTGGCTACCCAGCTCCAACAACCCTGTGAGCCCTCCCAGGCAAAACGAGGAGAAGGAAAAGGGGTATCTGGGCCGAAAGAAGAAAAGCCATCCCAAACCCTGCTACGTCCTAAACCTCCGCCCTTTTCAACGCCAGTCTGACCAAATTCAATAAGAGAGAATGGGGGTATCTCGCAAAACTCAAAGCCAGTTCCGAGCCAATCCAGACCAAATCTTCAGCGTACCGATGCTGAGTAGTCCAACTCCATGACGGGGAAAAGAAAAAACCACCAAAGGTCGATAAGAAAGAGACGTGAAGCTAAGAGGAAAGAAAACCCAATGCCTAAAACCTGACCCAAGGGATATAAAAACCCAATGCCAACACCAGAACCCAAGCCAGCGGTGTGAAGGTGCTGTTTGAAAGAAATGCAGTCTTTTGATGTTGTAGTGCTAGTAAAGAGCAAGAGGAATCCTCTGTGCCAGGTGATATGGGTCGTAAGCGTATTAGTTGCCGTGGCCGCCAGACGCCATGAACGTCAGAGTGTTAGCACCCACAACATCCTCGCCGTTTATGGGAAAGGTAAGGCCAGGCTGAAAGGCAGGCGGAACCTCCAGTTTACAATATTAGCAAGCCATCCAAGTCTGTGCAAGGAATGTCATGACTTACATTGATCTGGGCAATGGCAGGAACGAGCGCAGCATTGGCTTGAATATTCTGATGAGTTCCATCGAGCCAGTTTGTCGTCAGGGGACAGGCTCCCAGGTTCATGTTGGTAATGATGGCCGTTACATAGCCGCGCAGGATTGCAATCGCACACAGCTCTCCGTTGTTGCGCTTCATCTGCATCAAGACAATGTTGGCAACCCAAGCACTGTGGACAATCTCGCGGAGGACAAGGTCACACTGCTGGCCCTTGGTGAAACCGGCCGCGCGGATGTGAAGCTTGAGCTTGGCCTGGATCGCATCGACGAGATCGCCCAAGTCGGCGGTGACAAGGCGGCGGCTGGCGTTGCGCTCTTCGACTGTGATGTTCGGGGCGATGGGCTTGGGCGGGAAGGCGTGCTGCTGAAGCTGTGCGTTCTGGGAAGACTGAGCCTGGCTGGAAGACTGAGCATGGGTAGTCTGGGCCTGGCCAGAAACCTGGACAACTTCAGGCGCCTTGCCCTTCTGAGAACTCTTGGCCTTCTGAGGAGTCGCGGCCGTCTTGGAAACACCAACGGTGCCAGCGGACATGGAGCTCATGCCGGCAGTGCGGGAGTCCATCTTGCTCGTGTTCTGACGCTTCGTGGCCGGGGCCTTCTCGGCAGCAGTCGCCGCGCGCTTGTTATCGGCACCGGGGTGAAGCTGAGGCAGGCTGAGGTGACGGGGACCCTCGCCGTACTGAGGAGCATGGAGGTATGCGCCTCCGCCCCGGACTTGACCCTGCTGGGCGTATGCGTGGTCCTGGAAATAATACGTGAGTAAAAGAATCGTGGTGAAGTGGAGATGATGTTCTTACCTGGGCCGGGACATTGGCCTCGGGAATCTCAGAGATCTTTGTCTCTTCCTCAGCCTCGGGCTCCTCCTTCTTGACGTTGCCGCTGCGCATCTTCTCGTAGGTGTTGATGGCAGCGGCACGGACGGGACGGGACTGCGCCAGTCCGACAGGAGCAATGCCCCTGCCCGCGTCGACGGTGGCGGCAGGGACGGACCCCTTGCCGCCTGCCTCCGCGGGCGGGACATACTCCCTGTCGGAGGGCGCGTTTGAACCCATGTCGTCGTCGTCGAAGTCAGAGTCGGAGTCGGAATTGTAGTACGACCTCTTGCCCTTCTTCTGCTTCTTCTTGCTCGCCTTATTCTTCTTCGAATGCTTGGGCTTCTTCGAAGGAAGAGTGGTGGCGGAGGAGTTCTTGGCCTTTGTGGGCGTAGATAGAGTCAGGGACGAATCCTGGGTGGTGGCGAGGGTGGTCTGTAGAAAGGGGAAGGAGGGGAGAAAATCAGCTTCTGGGTGAGGCAAGACGGGTGTGGGTGAAAATCGACGTACCTGGGTCAAGCCGCTCGCGGAGTCCTTTCCAAAAGCCTTACCGCCCTTCTTCGCAGAGTTCTTGGAAGCAGAAGACGGGCCCTTGGTCGGCGAGGCATCAGGAGTGTTGGCCTGACGGCCCGGGACGGCGATGGCCACGGATGGCTGAGTAGGAGCGCGCGATCCGCCGGCGCGCTGGGTCAAGAGTGCGTAGCGGTCCACCCAGTCGAAATCGCCAACCTCATGAGCAACGTGAGAGCCGAGGTTCGAGATCTCGCCCTTGGCAACGCAGTCACGGCAGACGACGATGCCGCATTCTCTGCACAACTGGTGAACGGTCTGGGCGGCGGGCATCTTCTTGCAACAGTCGCAGGTATTTTCGCTGAGATGAGTCGGTCTCCAGTTGTCGTGACCACGGTTCCGGCCACCCGAGGACGTGGTGTGAGTCTTGAACTGGTCCATGACGATGATTCTGATGAACATGAAGCGATGGTCGTGATGGATAAGGGGTAAGGAAGCTCGTCGAGTTGCTGGTGTAGCGAATGTTGATGGCTGAGCTGCGAAAGAAAGCTGAGAGTGTTGAGAGAAGAAACGAAAACTCGAGCTGTCGAGGGAAGAAAGAGAATCAAAACAAGAGAAGGTGAGGAGAAGAGGAAACAAAAAGCCCAGAGCTCTCGCCCTCCATGGAAATCCTCAATATCAAAAGGGCGGGTACAATAAGTTGTGAGTTGCCGCCTCATGGAGAAGCCCTAATCACAACGAGAGCGGGAGCCGTCGAGAAGCAGTGAGCTTCCCGTCTTCGAGAGAAATCTTCAGCATCAAGGGGGCGACGGGTGAGACGGGTTGAGTGCTCCGCCTCATAAAGGAGCACTCATCGTGAGAAGAGCGGATACAGGAAGACATGGAGCTCTCGTTCTTCACAGAAACTCTTGGACGAAAAACGGATTGAGGGAAAGGGGTCAAGCTTCTAGTAGTTATGCTTATTATTCTCACTACCAGAAGGGCACTAGAAGAAAAGAACCGCTGCAAATCAACAGACTTTCAATATCAAGAGGCGATTATGTGAAAGGGGGTGAGCTACCGTTACGAGTAGACCTCATTTGCAAGGACGGACGATTAGATATGGACAAGGAGAGCAAGAGATATTCAAGTGCTGTGATAAAGACTTTGAACTCCTATCAAGTAGATGACATACTGCAAAGGAGCCCTCACATCCGTTCTGGTGGCTTATAACATCAAAGAGACTGAGTGTTATACACATAAGGGCCTCTCGCAAACTTGTCAAGGGAAAACGGTGATTCATAAGTAAGGAATCTTGATATAAAGCACTTGCTATACCCCACATCCAGGGTTGATGGGCTCTCGTCTCGTGTGTAAGTTATGATGATCACTGCACCAGATGAATGGCAGAGGATTAGATTGATACTCGGTCGTGTTATACTGAGTCCACAGGATCCCAGAGTGCTTCGAGCTGAGAGGTAGACTGTCCACGTTGTGGCTGGAAGGATACAATGATATCTAGGCATATTCCGAGTTAAGGTGGTTGCGGTATCATTAGAGATGAATGATGCTCTCAGTATGTCTATGACTAAGTTCGAAGCACGTGTGGCTCCCTCAGACGAGTCCTGAATGCAAAACCTGGCAGTCATCGCGCCAAACTTGAAGCTTTACCTATCATCGAGTGTAGCTTGATTAAAGAGCAAGCATCTCGCCATTGAGAGTAGTATCAAATGAGATGATGCCCATTCCTGAATAGATATTGCGGGTAAAGTGAAGAGGTACGACCTGGTATGGAGTGCGTGTTACCTACTCCAACATTACACGCGCAGCGTTTTTCATAGACCGGTGAGGACAATGTAACTTGACCGTGCCATATCTGACATAGTGGCAATGAGATACCAATGTGATGTAAATAGAAAAAAGGACGACGAAGAAAGAGAAAAGTTTGTCATGTAATATACAACCACCAAGGTCAGTGGCAAGACAGTCTTAGCTACGATTATGATACGCGGATGGTAAGGTCAAGAATATGATGAATTGAAAGCAAGACATTACCTATCATGAGTTCCGAGGGCAGCTAAGCACAGATCCCGCTTCACCTAGGAAAAAAGAGCTGTATAATTTATAATTTGGCAATTTAGTCGTCGCCTTGTGCGACAAAAAAACAGCGTTTTCCGCTATGAAACATGGTTAACTAAACTTGTGAGATTACTCATCGTCAACAAGATCTTCATTTACGACGAAACCATGATTAAGAGTTTCGTTGCGAAGTAACTGTGCAGTATGCGTCCGGCGCTGCGACACTTGTCCAGAATGGGCTTGACTCCAGCGGCCTCGAAGAACACATGGAACCGGGGGGTTGGTAAGAAATAGGACCGTTAGAAGGGATCGTGTTTCATACGTAAGGGATATAGTTGAAGTTCCACGTTGAACAGGCGTACTTCATCGGTCTGTACGTTGAGAGAGGCAGAAAATGACGGGTTATAGTAGGCAAATGCGTGCGAATACAAGCCCGTCGAAGGCTGTCATATGATTTCGGGAACACATAAACTGAACAGTGAGCAATTGAAAGCCTGACGACAAGATAAATGCGCATTGCGTTGATATCACAAGTGTTCGCTTGAAAAACGTGTAGTTGAACGACACAGCTCAGATTGCCAGAAAAGTCGGCATATCCAACAGTATCAAGAAACAAAATCGCTTGCACCCGCGCGGTCAAAGCTTTGCGGCAGCATGGGGCACAACGGGCGGGAGAGGGACATATCCGATGATGGACAGGTGCTGCTGGTGGATAGCCTGGAGTTCGATGGTAGTGTGTCCCGCCGTGGCCCTCCCGATCGTTGCTAGGACGACTTTTGCACTCGAATTTTTGCGCAACGAAAGAGATTGGCTGGGCGCATAGGGTGGACGACCAGTCGCCATAGTAACACTTAAACGGATAGGACGATGGGAACCGACCCCCTCGGGAGAGGACGGGTAGGGTCCACGAGAGGGCAGAACTTGTGCACAACATGAACGGGAACGGGACGAACGGGGGGAGGAGGGGGCCGGAGGCAAGTCATGACAAATGCCCACCTCTCTCTCTCTGTCTGCAAGTCTCCAGTCCCATCGATGACCCCGCAGGACGTCCGGGTCCAGAAGCGTTTTCTCGAAACAGGATGGTGGACTCTGTCCTCACGAATCGGACGTGGACCACGTTTCGGAGTACGGATACCTACACGATTCTGCATATCTGTCAGTGGAAGTTCACGAAAAAGGTCGACGAGTGACGTTGAACAAAGTGGGTACGTACCCAGCAGAGACCCACCGATTGGGAACAGGCGCACTGTGCTGGATGAAACGGCTTGAGAACATTCGGCCAATGAGATGGGCCATACTTCCACCAGAGCTCGTTGATTCGTCAATGGGTCATGCAAGCAATTAAACACGACCCCGCTAGTGGAGACGTGTCAGACGCGTCAAACGCGTGCGCCTCGCGACGACGCGCCGACCGCATCGCAAAGTTTCGCAACGGGCACCGCCCACCTTCTTTCTGGAGTTTGAACGGAGACGGTTTTCACTTTCTTTGATCAGAGTCGACTTTGTGGCGCAATGCCCTCCTGGTTGACTCACAGGCGGCAATCGCGGGATTTCATGTCTTTTCTCGGTGTAGTCATTCTGTCTTCACCGCTCACCTGCTCGCCCTCATCTTCCTGCAAGTGCTGAAGCCGGCTGATGCTAGATTCGACGGTCCGGTCAATCTTTGACGATTTTAAGTCTGGCGTTGTCTGTCTGCTTGGGCTAAGGAAAGCCTCGTTTGATTTTTCTCGCTGGGGTTTTGCGATTTCGCTCTTGCAAAAGTCGTTGAGAGCGAGGGGGAGGAGACACTGAGAGAGTGCCCTTGCCGCAATCGCGAAAGTTGGAAGAGGCGGGGCATGATGGAGCGGATTTACCCACGTTTCTGATGCAAGCCATTAAAGACGGCCCCTCTTTGTGCCTAGGGCGCCTGGCATGCGGAGCACGACGGGATGTTGAACCCTTGAGGTGGTGCGCCGCTCTTCGTCACAACGTGAGGTTGAAAGCCACCACCACTAAGAATACCACCACCACACCGCCATCTCACGCGCTCATGAATAACCCCGCGGCTACCCTGAGGGTGGTCTCGCATCACAGAGAAAGGGGGTCATGAGATCGTTTGATGGTAACATGAGAGGCGGGCGTTTCGGAAGCATTGAACCGACTTCCATGGCCAGGAGCACCCTCGAGTCATGCGTCATCTCGTCCACAACTTACAAAGGATGGTTCGGGCACAGTATGTGTGACTGAGTATTTGGTCGTCCAGTACGGTAAGTACGGAGTACTCTATACAGAGTACCATGCGACGCAGAACAAGCTTCAGGAGGAATTCGGTAGGCCTCTCAAGATTTGATTACGGCCTTCGAGGCCCAGAGAAGGTGGTATCCGGAACCAGAGAGATATGGTGTAGCTGGGGCCCGATCGGAACAAGTCGCCAAAGCCGTCCAGTACGGCCCCCAGGGATCGCTCGAATCAAGGTCTAGATACTATGACGGCAGCTGGCCGAAGCACAGACGGAATGCGCTTAAGCACCAAGCTCAAATCCCTTTGTGCAGTCCCCATCACTTTCTTAATGGAAGTGGTAAATGGTGATTGGTAAATGGCGCAGCATGAGGAGCACGTTTTCTCTCCACAGACTGGCTTGGGGAGCACCAGCGTAGAGACCACATGTAACCGTCGATGGTCGTCATCAATATCCAATCGCTTTCGGCTCATCTTGCAGATGAAACTTTGAAGCAATCGCAGCAACCTCGAACAGACGTGAGGGCAGAGGGAGGATGGAGTAACAGTAGGCAATCTTGTAGGGCCGAATCGACTGCAAGTCTGTCGTTGGAAACAATAGACGCCTCGAAAGTCGAAGAGTGTGGAAGCTCTGATTCGAGCTAGGTTCAACAGAGACTGCTATGTTGGTTGGCAGTCCGTGTGTCCCATTGTGTGGGAGTTTGACAGAAGGGAGGGCGCGAGCCGCGGCTCCTTAGCGATAAAGTCTGAGCGAACGCAGTAAGCCCAAAGGGGAAGTGTAAATTTTCTCTACATTCTTACGCTTTCCAATAGAACGGGGATTCCAAGCTGAGGCGGATGTATGTCATGAGCCTCGTGAGGCAAGGTAGAGGAGGCAAATCCCGTGGGAGAGGATGTCTCGCATGTCTTGCAGCTCTCTTCTCGGCCGCAGAAGTCCAGGGAGATGGCTGCTGTCCGATCATTCATGGGCTCAAAGGTTATTGATTGGGCAAAGGGGGAGATGGGGACGAGATGAGGCAGAGACAGTAAAGATGAATGGTCTTGTGCCTTAGTCTTGCGACCACCTTGCATGAACAGGAGGAGAGACAGTAGAGACGGAGAAAGGGTAAGGTTGACGAGACAAATAGGAAGAAGCAAGGAGCAGCAAAAGAGCCGGTAGTATTGCCTTTGATCGGGAGCGGGTATGAGTGTGACAAAAGATCAGAGCGACCAAAAACGAAAAAGGCCAAGAGGGGGAGGGGGACCGATGGTGAGTTCCTTTGCTATTGCCAGTTGACCCTTGCAGACTGGCGAGGGACGAGGGTGGAGGGTGTAGGGTGCAGACCCGAAGGTGAGAGGCGAGCTACTGCAGGTCGGTGAGGGACAGGAGAAAGAGGTGTGGGAGGGAGGGTGATGGTTGAAAGGGAAGAAGCAACGCCGCCGTCCCAGACTCGAGGTACCGCTCGAGGCGGCTGAGACACAAGATGGGCCCTACGAGACAATTTGGGAGAAGTCGCGATGGCGTACCCATTCGCGTGGCCTGTCCAGCTATTCGTCCATGAGGGCGACCTCGACCGTACCACGGGTCCTGATGGTGCGTACGTAGTAATTCATATTGGACTGCAGACTGTTTCGGGTGCTTCCATCATCGCCATCACCATCACCATCACGCCCATGCCAAATGCCTCGTGTCTTTTAGGGCTTTGACTGATGTACGTATACCGTATGGATGGATTCCATGCTTACATCATGTCTATGAGGTAGATTGATACGTACGTTACCTTATGTCAGAACCTGAGGCAGGTAAGGTAGGTATTGTATGACATAGGCAAGGTACGGAGTACATCGACCTTGGACAGAGGCTTGAGAGGAAAGAAAGAACGACGTAACGGAAGGGTCGGTCTGAATGAAAGCTCAGACCCTCTTGCCTCCCACTTCCATTAAAATCCCTGGCAAAAGCAATACGTACCGCGACGTCCCTCTCGAGCGCTCCAGACAGTGAAAGAGCTCGCATCGGGGCACAGATGCTGGGCTTTTCAAACACTGTGATACCCACACCAGGCGACCACGGCCCAAAGTACTTGCAGCAGCATGCAGTTTGCGCGCCCACCCCCAGGGCCCCAATGCCCCAGTCAGTGGACGGACCCTTGTCAGATGGTCCACTCTTGACTCCAGCGCACTAAGAAAGCCCATTTTCGCCCTTGCCAGACACAAGGCAAGGTAGTAGTCCTCCCCCCATGAGCCTTCCAGTCCTCCGCCATCCCATCTGCCACCTGCCACTCTGCCGCCATCCAGGTCCCAGCCAACCTGCCTACCTAACTACCTTACTTACACTTACTTCCCTTCCCTCCCGTCTCCCGCCCGAACTTCCTCACCGACACACCACAACTCTCCCACACATTATTGCTTCACCCGCATTCCTCCCTCCCATTGCAGAAAACAAGACGACCCTGTGATTCAATATTGAAACACTTATCACTCTAATATCCTCGCCCTTAAGACCCCTTCGTCTGCCCCCTACAGTCCACCGGCGCATTCCAAGCCTCCTCGCTTTCTATCCCGTCGCATACTCGCGCACAGTCGCAAAAGTCTTCCCGTCGCATACCAATCCACCAAACCAACTCGTCATCGCATCGCGCGACACTCAATAGCCCACGACCGCATACCGATCAAATCCCTCAAGATGCTTATGCCATCCGCCTTCTCATGCGACACGTCGCAGCCGCCTCTTACCCGACTTCAGGCGTCTCTCTTCGCATCGCCTCCCTCGAGCCCTCCCACCCTGTCAACCACCAGCGGCTTCGGCCACATCTTGGACAGCTGCCGCTCACTCCAAGCCCTTCTTTCATCGCCTCAGCATCAGAACATCCCCAGCGCCGCTCTCTCGTATGACGCGCCGCAACAATACCTCCCCACGCCATCCCAACTTCCCACGCCGCCCCTCGCCCACGCCCCGGCTCCTCACAAACTGCGCCTGCGCTCGCGCGCAAAGCAGGATGGCGCCATCAACAACGAGCACCTCCCGCGGAAGCGCATCGCAAAGCGTGCGCCGCCACGCGGCCTGAACAAGCGCCGGCGCGCCGCTGATGAAGAGATGGGTCGCGAAGATGGTCTTCTTACAGATGAGGATGTCGAGAGCGACCTCGACATCTCATCCCAGCGTCAGTCTTTCGAAGCCAACAACGACACCCTCATCCCGTCCAACCCCTCCACCCCCAAACGCGCGCGCATCGCACCAGAGGTGATCCCTCTGGGTCTCGAGCGCTCCGACTATCACACACTACACCTCCTCAACGGCGACGGTGTGAACATGAACCACGGCAGCATGGAGGCTGCAGGCACGCAAGACTCAAACGTGGAGGTCGAGGCCGATGGGGAACGGTGGAGCGCCGAGGATGATAGGATACTCGTTGAGCTGGTGCTGGAGAAGCTGAAGCTCTCCAAGACGGAGTGGCAAGATTGCGCGCGCAGTTTGGGCAAAGACCGGAACTGCCTATCACGGCGATGGAAGAGCCTCATGGTCCAGGGCGACGTTGGCCTCAAGGGACCTCGAAGGAGTAGCCGCAGGGCCAACCTTCACGGTACCTGGCGGTAGTTGACTCTGACTTTGGCGTCATCGTCGACAGTCTGGGAATTTACCTTTTCATTTGTCTTGGAGTTTGAACGTGGCGTTTTACAAGTATCGAACGGTCAGAGCCCGGAACGGCTTTTGTGGGACATTTTAGGAGCGGTTGTTCAGCGCCTCATCTCGCGCTTAGTTGATCTCGAGCTTGGAACTAGCTTTTGAGTTGGGACATGTTGTTTCTTTGTTTTCTCTTCTCACGCGTGCTGCGTCACTCGAGAGCAAGCATATTTTATCTACCAGAATAGGCCATCGGAATCTCATTGAGCGAGATAACCTGTCGTCTTATGCGCCTTACTACAGAGAGGCCAAAATACAAGAAACTTGGACATTCAAAACTCCTGCACGCTTCGCATTCTTGTGAACTTGGAACTGCTACTATTGAGATTGACGCCTCTATTCCATGATGTGAAATGAGCTCGCCATACTCTGATTCATATCATCGACACAATCTTGTGGTTTGATACATGCAGCCGTGACGTTGAAAGTCCGCATGCGTCGTCTGTCTGTCACATACGTGGACGTTTTCAACATTACCAACACTTCGACTACACTAGCTACCCGTCTGTCTTGTCGCAACTGGAACTGTCAAAGGAGCTGTCACGTCAAGCCCCCCGCGCGCCGTTGACTCGTAGCCGCTCAGACGGTGCCCCAGTCTTGTCAGCTTCCAAAGTTCTAAGGTATCATACTATCCGTATCTAACTTTGATACTGGGCTCCCTCTCTCTCCACGCGACAATTCCAATAGATTGATTCATTGCCAGTCGCGCAACGCGCTGTCGTGCAGCTTGCTCCCTGTATGCTCCATCCCCGGTTCCCCCGCCCCCTCCGCCCCAGCCTCCCCGTCCCTTTTCTGGACTATTACAGACTACTATCGCAGGTACGGATGGGGGGGATAACAGATTGCGATAGTTGTTTTCGGTAGCACTGTGGACCTTTCCGCCCTGGTGTCGTGATCGTTGGTCCAAGGTAAGGTAAGGTACGGAGGAATGGTGGCAGGTGGGTGGCTGGTCTGGCGTGTTGGGTCTAGTGCCTTCCCCCGCCATTCCCATGTTGCAACGCCTGATGCGGCGCCCGTCGCCTTCTTCTCATTCAGTCCAGTTCTCCCTTCTCCAGGACCGAAACGTCACCTCAATCATCACTCGCACATACAATACTCCGTACAAACAGCGCATTTCAAATCATATCAGCAAGCTTTCTCGCTCTCTCCTACTGAGACAAGAGAACCAAGGACCTCATGTCCTGAACAAACAGCAATTGATAGCCTGGAAGCAGTACTATGTCAGGAAGCGATCGCAGGACGCAAGGGGTGGCTGGTGTTATCGATAGTACGCCGCATCCATCCTCCGTACCTGAACATCCTCCGCCCAGCCCGGGGGTGTGGCCTGTACAAAGTAAGGCCAGGCCAAACCAACCACCGCAGTTCCCAACCTTCTGAAACGAACTCTTTTTTTTTTTTTTTTCTCCCCCAGGGCAAGGGGGAAATAGGTGTGGGACGGGAATCGGAGCGGGAAGGATACTGGATAGTGCGAGCCCTTTTTTCCCTTGCTATCCGCGCCAGCTGAACCTATCGGCTTGACGATGTGCCTGAATAGGCCGTGGGGTCGGGTATCCCCCCCCTCCTCACAAAGGCCTGGACGGCTGGCCTTGGGGGGCAGGCAGATACCCTGTCCTGTCTATCCAATCCTATTTGGCGGACTACTACCTGCGCTCAGCTGTATAGATGGATCTGAATGGAGGCTGAGTTCAGTGAGTGGGAAGTGTAGTCAAAGAGTGAGGTGTAGATATTAGGCGAGTGAGTGAATCAGTGAGCAGTTCCCTGGATGAGGGATCGACCAATGAATCGTAGAGAGCACTACACGGATAATACGTGTGTGTAAGCCTATGTGGAAGCGTGTAAGTCGAGTTCGACCATCAACTCAAATCACGCTCTCTCTCTCAACCTCACAGAACCTCGGCAATCCCGTACGCGAAAAGCGCGCGTCATGATAACCAAAGATTGGCATACTCTCCATTATTGTCTCAACTCGTCAAATCGTCTGAACAATTTTTCTTCTTCTTCTGTTGCATCCCGTCATATCTCATATCATCTCACACCCCTTCAGGCACGATCTTGCTTAACCTTGGATCTTCTGCCCACTCAACCAGCAAGCTCTGCTCTACCTACAATCTATGGCTACACAGAAGAAGAAGAAAAAAGAAAAGAAGAGAAAAGAAAAACTTCAAGATGGAGAGCGTGAGAGCACAGCATAGATCGAATATGTAAACATTCAAATGCAGGCAAGGCAACCAGGACTTGTTCGAACAGAGTGAGTGGCCATCACGCATGCATGTCTCGTGAATCTAGGGCGAAGCGCAGCAAGCGGTGTCAATCCATCACCGCGTCCTGGGTACACCAATCAAGCAAAGAAAATCACAACATGAAAAAGAAACGCCTTTTTCGGCGACGAAGCCGACGCCGTTGCAAAAGCACGAACCGTACGTACACCCACCCCCAGCACCCTAAAGAGAAGCATGATTTGATCGATACTGTGCAAGATACTTCATGTCTCGCCGGCCATCGCGCCGACGAACGATCCAAGGGATGACTGAAACATTTCTTTCCCCCCCTCCACACTCCCCATCTCTTCGCCTACGGGGCACGTCTAGTGCGCTTCAAGTCAGGAACCAACAAGAACCAACAGTAATTAAGTCTACGGGAGTAAGTCGTGTGCCTGACATATATATTCCTCCCTGCGTCAAATCGATCAGATACCGCCCCCCCCCCCTTTTCCCGACCCATCATCGCGGTTTGCCCTGGTCTGGAGTGCTGCACTAGTTTGGTATCATCTTTCGACCGAGGCTCTCCAAGGGGGCAAGGGGGACGCGGTACTCGCGTCGTGCCCGCGTGATGGGGGTGATCTCCATCTGTAGAGTCAGTCTGTGAAGCCAGTCTATCGAACTTTTCAGCAGCCATCGTCAAGGAGATAGGAAGAAATCCAAGTTGACATGCCCTTAGACCCTCCCCTCCACATCGTTACGAACTTCTATCGATTCTGCGTCCAGTTTGTCTCACGCGGTCGGGAATTGGGTACTCGTTATTGAATGAACTACGCTGAGACCAATACTTGCGTCTCGCGATTTGAATTTCAAGGGGGTTATGAATCTCGCAAGCTATGGGATAAGGTAAACGAACGATTGTTCCCGAAAACCACCAAGCAAGCCGTGCTCTGTCCTTCTCTAGAGGCACTCACAACTGCCACGCAATGCTGAGAGCCATCATGTCTTTTGTCGTCAAGTCGTCATAGCAAGTTCGACACTCTGACCGCGCGCAAATTCCAGATTCGAGGTCGGCGGGAGTCGCGTCTAATCCTCATAAACCTCCTCGTACGCCTCCTCGTACTCTTCTCTGGCCTCCTCGAGGCGCTCGTGGTCGCTACTGCTGGCGTCTGAGTCCGCGGCGTCGGCGAGAGCCTCCTCATACTCCTCTCTGGCCTCCTGGACCTCCTCACGATCACTGGAAGAGACGGAGGACCCATCCGCGTCAGTAGGAGGAAGCACGGCAGGGGGCTGGTTGTAGGGGTCCTGGTAGGGGTCCTGGTAGCCTCCGTACTGAGGCTGAGCTGCGGGGGCAGCGGCGTGCTTGTGCTCATCATCAGAGTCGTCTGTGTAATGATTGTCAGTGATTTGATCTTAAAGATGGGCAAAGAGCGAACGACACATGGCAAAACCATCGTTAAAGGGGTTGACATACCGAGGGCGTTAGCAATCAACGCGCCACCAACGGCACCGACAGCGAGACCACCGGCAGCTCCAAGAAGCATACCGCTGCTGCTGCTCTTCTTCTCCTTGTCCTTGGTGCCGTACGGGTTCTGGCCCTGCTGCTGCTGGGCGTAGGGGTCCTGGCCGTAGGGGGCCTGGCCGTAAGGAGCGGGAGCGCCGCCGTACTGAGGCTGGCCATAGGGGGCGGGAGAACCGCCGTAGCTGGGGTTGCCGCCGTAAGGAGCGGGGGCACCGCCGTACTGTGGAGCGGGCGAGCCGTAGCCGGAACCCTGGTCGCCGAAGGCTCTAGTGTCGGAAGAAGGGTGGGGAGGAACGGGAGGCGGGGCGTAAGAGGAGCCGCCCTGGCCGCCGGTAGGAGGGGACGGGTGCTCCCACTGGGAACGGCCGGTGCTCTGGTCGACGTAGAACCAGCGGTTGTTGTTGGTGTCCCACTGGACCAACCAGCCGCTGGAGACGGAAGGAGCGGCCATAGGGGGCGCGGCAGACTGGGGAGCCGGAGGCGGTGTCTGGGCGTAGCTGGGCTGGCCGCCGTAACCGGGCTGTGCCTGCGATGGGTAAGGGTAGTTGGAGGGAGGAGCGCCGCTACCGTAGCCGCCGTATTGTTGCTGCTGCGGTTGATCACCGAAGCCGCGTTCGCCTGTGTGAATAAGAAGCGCGAGTCAGTAACCTTAACGTAACGACGATGGTAGATCTGTTTAGATCTAGATGGTATCGAGAGGTAAAGAAGACAGATGGTTCGGTCAAGGGAAGACGTTGAAATAGGCAGGGTTATTGCGACAAGGTATGAGGGGACGTGTACATGATTTATGACTGTTCATCGACAAATCTGGAGACTTTGTCCTCTTTTCCCCTCGTTTGTTTCGGGGTAACGGGCAGAGAGGAGAGATTGGGAGGGAATTTCTTCTCACTTACCGGTCTGAGGCTGCTGGTGGTGCTGTTGCTGCTGTTGTTGCTGCTGCTGCTGGTACTGTTGATGCTGATCGTCCTTCTTCTCGGCGGGCTTGTCGTCGGAGAAGGAGGTCTTGAGTTCCTCAAACTCCTTGGTGAGCTTCTTGAAGAAAGACATGGTTTATCTTTCGGTTCGGTTGTTCGGTTAGGCTGCGAGGACCAAGGTAGCAGAGCAAGGTTGGTAGACTTGGTACGGAGTATCTCTCAGGTAACGCAAGTGGGATATCCCGTATGTGAGGTGAATTGGTGTAAGGTAAGGTAGGAACAGCGGCAGGAGCTGAGAGAGAGGGACGGAAGAGACGGCAGAGGGCCGAGAAAAGAGCTGGGAGAGGGGCAAAAACGTGTTGAACAGCGTGGCACGCTTCGTCAGCCCTTTTCCTTTTTATTCTGATGGGCGGTCAAGGAGGCAGCCCTGGAGTCTGGAGGGGAGATGAGCAATAAGGTATCCGTAAGGTACGGAGTAAGGTAAGGTATGGGAAAGAGGAGATGGCGGCGGGCGGGCGGGCAACGGGAAGGTTCCAAGCGAGGAAAGCGGGATGGGGAAAAGCCAAGGAGATTTGACGAGATGGGCGCCCGGTCGGGTTGGTGGACGGTCCACGCGAGATGCCTACGGAGTACGCAGTATCGTGCTTGGACAAGACTTTTGGGCACTTGTACTGCAATCTGCGGAGAGCGACAGCGGTTCGAGTGGATCACCGGATGCTTCGCAGGTTAATTCTGGGGTGCGAGACGTGGGCTTGGGCTTGGGCTTGGAAGATGTGCGTGGGTAGCGGGCGCGTGAATAAGTGTGTGAGGCGTCTTTTTTCACAGACACGGAGTGCTGCAAGCCTGTAATACCTGAGGTAAGGCAGGTGAGGTGAAGTGAGGTGCTCCTGCCTGGTGCGGCGTGATTGTGTGAGGGCTCCGATGGGTTCCCTCCCGGCGGCGCAGATTATCCAGAGAGCCGAGCTTTGAAGACACCCCGCGGGACCTTGACACCTCACACCTCATGCTTCACACCCGACCTCACACATCAAATCATCAGACCGCAGACTAGTCAGAGAAGGAACGGGCCGGCAACTGAGGTTGATCGTATGGACGAAAAGCTGCCTGCCCCCGTTGCAGCTCAGGTAGGGTGGGGGTACAAGAGTACGGAGTACGGGGTGCCTGCTTCAGGATCCCTCCCATTTTGACCTCCGACTTTGGACGAGAGTCACAGTCATGAGTGTGATTGATTCAGTGAATGAAGACAAACCGCCCTAGAGTTTATTTGGCCGAGGCCACCGGGTGGTCGTAACGGCTCGATGAGGTTTCAATTCACTCGGCTCCATCTGCCGTCTATTCGAATTCGAATCCGGTAGGACGGTAGGAGGCCTCAAGCTAACAGTTCATCTAGGAGTTGAAATTCAATGTACAACTTGGGCAGGCTGGCCATTTTCCGTATCGTGATACGTATCATGATGGGGATTATCTCACCAGGTACGGTGGATGAGGTGCTCGCTGGCGGGGAAGTAGGAGGAGCACAGAGATCGCATTGTGGCAAGTGCCAGGCGAGAGTCTGAGAGAGGACAGGAGAGTAAGGTATCTGGACTCCTGCAGAAACACCTCATTGAGCAAGGCAAGTGATTGGCACACATCTGCAGACTGCTGCAGAGCTCTGCAGACCTGGTAGGGCGGGCGCCAGGCTAAGGTAGGGTCCAGGGCAACCTATCCGGTTACCAGAAGAATATCCGTAGGCAGGGGTTCAAGATGGGGCTCCGTCGGCCCCTACCTTATCCTGAGGTCCCAGCCAGAGCTCTCAGAGTGAGTGACCTTACCTCCTGAGGTAAAGATACCTCAGGGTAGGCATGACATGTGCGTATGTGGACGGACGAGTGAGGAGTGCGATCAGGCCGATCAGTAGCAGGAGTTGAAAGTGGCAGGCCAGAGAAACATACAACAGTAAACATGAAGCACGTCTCGAACTTGACCTGTTGCTGACTTTGCTCCTGCGGCTTACCTCACCTTTGTGTGCTCCTGAGCTGCGCCGCCTCGCCGCACCCGCGCTCCGCCCTGTCCGCGGCTCTCCACCCGACCGGTTTAAACATGGCGTTTCTGGACCCCAATCTGGCTTAGTTTGGACTGTACGTATCTACTCCGTAAGGTTCCTCAAGGTACCTTAAGGCCCTCCCACCTGAAGCTCTCTTCCCTGCAAATCGAAGTTTCTATCCTTTAGTAATTAACATGCCAAAGGGGAAAAACGGTTAAGTCTAACCGCCTATGGTAAAAATGCCAGCAAAAAGAGCTAAAGAAAGATTGTGTCACCGTGTCATGTCTTTCCTTGGGTCCTTGCCTTTGTACTTTAATGCCACCTCTTTGCATGTCCGTCCGGTCTGGTAATACCGAGCATATAGGATGTCTTCACAAATGCGTCTTGCAGTGCAGAATGCAAAATGCAGAAATTGCCTTGCTTGTACGTACAGATACGGGGTAATTTCATGCAAATGAAATACCGAGTGGGCTGAGCAGCGTGAGCTATTCGTTCTGCGGGCAAACAGGTAAGCGAAGAAAGAAGAAAAGAGAAACGGGTCACATGGCTCTCTCTGTGTTGTATCAAACCACAGCCACAGCGATGAATCAAAACATCGTCGTCAATCAAAGACGATAGAAAACTGCATGAGCATCGCCCTCCTTTATGTCCGCTGCGGCCTGTTGTTCATATGATTGACCGGATGATCCATTTCAGGGGTCTGAGGAAGAAAGAACAACACTGTGTTATCCAAACCCCGTTCGTGCCGTCCCAACGGGCTCGGCAATGGATCTCTAGTCACCACCACCCACTGAATGAGTGTGTGAGACTGCCCATTTGTTCGCCAAACCCGCCGTGCCGAGCTTTGAGGAGCTGAGGAGCTGCAGATGTCCTAACGCTTTTGGACGGTGGACGCGTACGCTTGCCAAGAGGGAAGGAAAACCTTGGCTTCTTGGCTTTGCGGTCTTTTGGTGCCGTCCTATCCACCCCAGAAGCCTTGTCCCGTTAAAGATGGCCCAGGCAAACACAAGACACAAAAACATTCTGATTCACTGCACAATCGGTATGACCGTTGTGCCTTGTGAACGAGAGTTTGGCACTACTTTCCATATTCGGCCTTTTCAAGTGCGGGATACCGAATTATATAGCACTACAGCCACCAAATAGTAGCGCATTTGGTGCCAAAATCGGCGATGCCCTGACTCTGAGGATATATACGGACACTATCGAATTAAACAACCTACCAGGCTAGCAGTGCCTATTACCCCCTGCTCCCCTGCTCCGCCCTATCAACTTGTGCAACGGCGACTCCCTATCCCATGTGTGAATGCCCAGAAAACCTACCACCAGATGCCACTGCCGAGAGCCCGGCATCCCGGCCGAGACCCTCTTTTTTCTTGTTGCTCATCGTCGCTCCAACTTCCTGTGACTGAGCAGTAAGGTAATCCCCGGCTCCCCTCCTCTTTGTGCTTTACCTTACTGGTATTGGACCATCTGCCACATGGCCGCCGTTGGGTTGATGCACTGGGAACTGGAGCCCTTTGCGCGCGAACAGCGATCCGCGGGCCCGAAGACAGGACCCTTTTTTAAGGAGACACAAGGGGGGAGGGGGAGACCATCCAATGATCCATGATCCAACTGAGAAGATACGGTTGGACCAAAGAGGAACAGAATGAGCAGAAGGGGGCGCGTACGCCGGGAAGGACGAGAAAGGGACCCTTGGGCCCTTGGGAACCTGGGAGCCCAGAGTGAACCCTTCCCGCGTGTTATTCACTGGAAAGACTGGGTTTCCAAGGATGGACGGCAACTGTCTGAGGCGTAGCGTTTCTTGGTGCGAATGGGTTCGCTGTGGATGGATGGGTATTCCGTACGGACATAACCGTATCTTACACGTAACGCGCGTGTAATGTGTGGTGAAGCTGTCAGCGAATCGCCGGGAGACATGCGAGACCAAGAGGACCACTCTCTCAAGTTCACTCTCTGAGCCTCCTCCGAGGTTGTGTCCTGCGCCTCGCACGAGGTATGATCCCAGCACACACCTGGAATAAACATTGGGATTGGATTGTGACCGATGGGGAGGAGAGGAAAGAACATAACCCACTCCCCATCTCATCTCATACCTCACCTATCCCATACCCCATCCTACACCTATTTCCTTCCTTCACATCCCACGCACCATTCTCTCCACCCCTTGCAACTTGCAACCTTCACTCTCTTTCCTGAATATTTCCACTTTCCATTCGCAAACCGTCAATTCTTCCTTTTCGTCGATAATCACAAACCCTTCCTAATCAACATGTCTCAATACCCTCCTCCCGGCCAGCAGTAAGTCTTCCAAGGTCTTTTTACCTCTTGCGCACCGGCGCTCGTACGCGCGCGCGCGCCTTCCCACTCTTCACACCCAAACCAATCTCACCTTCCAAATCTCAAGAGAGGCATCAAGAAGAAACCTCAAAAAAACTGACAATCCCTTACAGGCCCTACTACGGCTCTCCCCCGCCTCCCCAGGGCGGCTACCCTCCCCAAGGGTACCCTCCTCCCGGCCAGCAGCCTGTAAGTTCTCTCCCTCTCCGTCCAAGCCACCGACCCGTTCACCGAATGAGTGGGAAGACATGGGCATAGTCACCCTCTGTTGCGAAAGCCTGATACTAACCTCCGCTGCTCTCGCAGATGTACTACCCTCCCCAGGGCCAGGCCCCCCCTCCCCAGGAGGAGAAGAAGGATGACAAGGGCTGCCTCTACGGCTGGTAAGTTAACAACAACAGCCTTGAACCCATCGCGGCGCGCAAGATAGAACACCGACTGACCACACACCGATAGCATCGCCACTCTCTGCTGCTGCTGGCTCTGCGGAGAGACCTGCGAGTGCTGCCTCGAGTGCCTGACCTGCTGCTTCTAATCCACACACGCACAATGTGTAACACGCCAAGCAGAAAAGGAGGGAACAGAAGAAGAAGAAAAAAAGCATCATCCAAACACACAAACGACGATACCGAGTGCGACCCAAAGCAGCAAACTTACAACAACACAAAGATACCAACTAGATGGGCCCCCCCCCTGCTACCATCAACCCCCCCGAACGCGATCACGGCCTTTGATTTGGTGAACGAGAAAACTGATTTGGGGAATAGATGGAGGGAAACGGGAGGTTGTTTAACTCGGCTTGGAAGCTTTGTTCTTTCTTATCCTTCCACACCCCTTCTTTGCGATGCCGGTCTTCTTCCTACGACCGCACGCTAGTTTGTTCACTTGAGCATTGAGAGAGACATTCTTGCTCTTACGATTACCCACATGGCGATTGCGTTTCGCTCATTTTTCCTTGTCGTTTCCGAGATAGGAGGGTTTTCGGGCTGTTTACTTGGTGAGGAGGACTCGACATAGCAAAAGTCACCTCAGTCATTAGCAGAGTAAATACACCCAACGGAAAAAAGACCACCCATTTGTCAAATGTTCTTCTGCATCAGACAGGCAGGACCATGGTGAAAAAAAAAAAAGGAAAAAAAAAGGGAAATAATCCGTGTCAAGGCTGTCAATCCAATGTCTTGCATGTATTGTGTCATGTGTGTGATTGTGATGTGTATTGCCAAGTCGTGTTCCTCCACTTTTAAAGCACCCATATCCTCTCTTCACTGTGCCTTATGAGGAAAGGGTATCAAGGCGGCAGTGTGTGCTTTTCCCCCCCTTCTCCCCACCACCCATTGGACCCAAAATCAAAGAAAGATCGCCCCGCCAACAAACCGTTTGTCGCGCTGCTGCTGCTTCTAGCGTTTGCAGAACACTGTTTCTACTTCTTGCCGTCTTTCGGAGCCATGAGCTGGACGAATTCTTGATCTGTTGTGTTTTTTTTGCAATGTCAGCCGCAATCCTCCCGAAAGTGATGGTGCTAATTAAAGAAACACAGAGTGGGGGCGGGGTGGGCAAGCGAAATGCGAATGGGGTGGTATGCAGGGCCATTCCGGTGGGCGAGGATTGCGGTACTGGGCCACTGGCAGTATTGATGCGATCGCGGCCGGCCGGCATGGGTACGAATTCGCAGTATTGGGGTTGCCTACAATCAATAGAACCGTTGCCGTCGAGATCGGCACCTCTGATCATCTCCTCAATCTCCTCGTCGGTGGCGCGCTGGCCGAGGGACAGCAGCACCTGGCGCAGTTCCGAAGGCGAGACGGAGCCGCTGTTGTCCTTGTCAAAGACCTTGAAGGCGGCGACGAGCTCGGTATTGGTGTCGGAATCTTTGCTTGAGGGCGCGGGTGCCTCGCTCATGAGTTGGAGGAATTCTGCGGTCGCTGTTAGTCGCAAAAGTTGCTACTGCGAAACACCATGGCGACTGTGTTTCTAATTGTGCCACGGCTCAAAACGGAGGCGCACCTTCGAAATCAATTCCACCGTCGTTATTGGGGTCGACCTCGGCGATGAGCTCGTTGACCTCCTGAATGCTGGGGTTCAGCCCAAGTGACTTCATGGCGATCTGGAACTCCTCCGCGTTGATGGCGCCTAGATACGCAACTCTAGTTAGCTGGATGAGCTGACAATCCAGTGGGAATGGCAAGCTAAGCAGGCTGATTCGGTATAGAAGGCTGATTGTATGCATTAAGTCGGGGGTGACTGACCGGTGCCATCGCGATCCTGTCAGGGAAGAAACAACACTGTCAGCAAGGAGTTCATCCCAAGGGGGAGGACAATGCACAACAATGCCATTATCGGGGTACGTATGTGTGACGCAGGGTTCTTGCAACTTACAAAGATGGAAAAGACCTGCTTGTAGTCTTTGTACTGCTCCTCAGTGAGTCCGTAAGGCGGAGGGGCCTACACGAAAATCGAAGTCGAGATGTCAGCCTTTGGATGCCAGGGAAACGAAAGCCATATCGGAGCTGCGACGTGAGGGGCAGCATCATGGGTTGCGCGACTGAAAACGCACCATTTTTTGAGTTTTGCGGGGTCGGGAAACGAGCGTGTGTCGTGGACGGAATAGGTGTGTCTAGGAAGCTACAGCGAGCTTCTGGGCGAAAGGACGATAACGATAATTTGATGCGTAGGCCGGTTCGTGTAGGTTGTCGCGTGCGACGAGCGAGGAGAATCGTGTGTTGACGTTTGAGTGAAGATGCAAGGCAAGAAGAGGGCAGGCAAGATAATAGGTGCGGAGGGGAGAAAAACAAGAGTCGAGGAATGGTAGCCCGTAGCCCCTCGTTCTCTCGCCTGGCCTCAGCCTGATTGAATGGTTCTACATTTTTAGTGCTGGGCTACCTTGCTGCCACCTGTTTTTGCTGTGAAGGACAAGGTACCTGCACATGGATGCCGATGGGCTGGATGCCGATGGGCTGGATGCCGATACCGAGAAGCAGCGTGCCATCCCTCTCCTAGCAGCCCTGGGTTGAGACTGAGCTGATGCTGGTTTGCTCCGTCCCTAGCTTCGTATTACTTTATTTTAGTCAATTGTATCAACATCAAGCCCGGTCCAGTCCAGTCCCAGTTCCAGGCTGCGACGCCAAAGACCTTAGGTGGGATAAGGTTGACAGATGTCAGGCAGTCGCCAGCTGAACCTGTTGGTGACATTCTCCTCCTCCTCTCTCTCGCACCACAAGATGCCTACATGTTGTATCCGTACAAATACCTTACCTGAGATGCCCAGCAATACCCTGCTGTGCACCCTGATCACCACCAGCATGTGAGGTATGACGCCAGGCTGCCCTACGGCACCATCTAGCGCCTGCGAAGCCTGGGAAAGTCTTGGCGTCCGAGTCTATTTCCGCCCGCGGACCTGCAAGCGTACGCGGCCACATCCACATCGCCGTTGCTCAAAGAGGATTAGGTCCTGTCCGGTGCTTTGAATTGGCTTCCGGGCTTGGGGGTGGGTGGCAACATCAGACAGCTGTACTGCGTACCTATGTACGAATGATAGTGTGCAGACTTGCGCAGAGTTGCAGAGAACAGGGCAGAAATGGGACTTCCTCCGCCTTCCCGCCCTCTCTTCCCGTCAGACCAGGTCTGGGCACGTCGTCCCTTCTCCTCTGCCGTCCGCGGGAAGGGGAGGAACTGACAGCCGCTTGGTCTTGGCAGATGATGGGAGTTTGGCGAACGGGTGAACCATAACAGATAATTATGCACCTAGCTACCTAGCTAACCCCCTGCTCCTTTCGAATAAGGTAGTCTTGGTAGTATATGTCATGATTAGGCATGGACGTTGCTGGAGGCTGTTGCTGATTATGGGCATGTGGTGATGTATCGAGCTTCAACCGGCATTTGGGCTTATCGGCACTGATTTCCTGAGACCTGCATTTCAGCGTGGCTTGGACTTCTTCCTCCCATCGAACCCAGGACTACCGGCAGCCACATTTCGAATCACGGACCATCTGTATCAGCCTTGGAGGCATCCCGACTGTTGCTCGGTGATGGATCTATCCAACGGAGTGTGCCTCGCCTGCGAAGCCCTCCTATGCTCAACTTCGCAGCAAAGCTAGACGACGAGCTGCAGCACTCCATGAAGATGACATTTGACTTTGTAAACGCAACCTATCTCGAACACGCGGGAGAATGTGAGAAGAGCATACCTTGACGTCGCGTATCGAGAGAGAGAAAGAGAGAAAGGTGATCAGATGATGTGGAACAAGTTTCTGGAACTCCTTCTTTCTCTTCTCCTGTGTGGAGGCATGTGTGAATCCCAGCTGAAAACTCCAAACACTTGCCCAGAAACAGACAAAACGTCGCGCCTTTTGTGCAAGTGCAACCGAGGCCTCCTCCTCCTCCATTCACCTTCCATTCAGTTCAGTTCCCCTTACCGCCCCGTCCCCCTCCAACCCCACCACTCTGACCTCAAGACGTCTCATCCTGGACTGCCTCGCCCGTTGCCCCTCCATCGGAGCCCATCCCTTCCCACCCTCGACCTTGGGTATTACGGATACCTAAGCTGCCACATTTCACGCCTTCCCAGCTCTGAGGTGAGCAGGAGCTTCCCGCAGTGCCGCGCTACCGCTCAAAGACCTTGGCAAGGTACCTGAAAGGACCCCTCCCTTCTCTTAGGTACTCTTAGGTTGCTATCCCCAATCCGACCACCCGATTCTCTGCGCATCGCTCTCGCATCTCACCCAGCCAAACCCCACAATCTTTCTTAACACCCTTCGCATTCCGTTCATATCAACTCTCAATCTTCCGAGTCCGAATTTTTGCAATTCTTCAGACCCTCTGTAGATTTCACACCTTCCCTGGCTTGCCGGGAAGTCTCCATTCAGATAACAAAGGCTTGTTTTGGCACAGCTTATTCGCTCATAGTGGGTTTGCCCCTCACCCCGCCCTTTCCGGGGCACCACCTCACTCACAACTCATCTCACCTCTGATCCAGCGAAGCCTGTGTAAACCAAAACACGTCTTGCACAACCTACACTCTTCGTCCTGCACAAGCACAGCGTCAATTGACTTGGCGACATGTCTGGCTACCCAGGACAGCACGGCTACGGCGGCGGCGGTGGTGGTTATGGTGGAGGAGGCTATGGCGGCGGACACCATCAGCAGGGAGGTTATGGAGGTCACCAAGGAGGAGGCGGCGGCGGCGGCTATGGCGGATACCAACCTCCCCCCGGCCCCCCTCCCTCGCACCACGGAGGCTACGGCGGCGGCGGTGGCGGCGGCTACAACCCGCCTCCCGGTCCCCCTCCGGGTCAGGGTGGCTACGGCTACAACCAGGCACCGCCCAACCCGCATCCGGACCAGGGCTACATCGGAAGGTATGCACCCCCTTCCCATCCTCCGCCTCCGGGCCTCGACGTATACGGCTACCCTGTCAATTCCGGCCACCAGGGAAGACCCCGTGAGTATCACACGCCTCGCTTCCTCAAAGTCTCATGAGTATTGATTCGTCTCAGATATGCCCACGGTAAACTCCAACGACTGGGCTCACGGAAACCGAAACGCGCCCCCTCCCCCGCCTTCAGGCGCCCAGCAGTTCGGCCACGGCGCTCCGGATGGCTACAGCTTCCAGTATTCCACCTGCCAGGGTAAGAGGAAAGCCCTCCTCATCGGCATCAACTACTTTGGCCAGGATGGTGAGCTGCGCGGCTGCATCAACGACGTCAAGAACCTATCGGCCTTCCTGACAGAAAAGTACGGCTACAAGCGTGAAGACATGGTTATCCTCACCGACGATCAGCAGCAGGCCATGGGCCAGCCCACGAAGAACAATATCCTCCGCGCCATGCACTGGCTCGTTCAGGGCGCACAGCCAAATGACTCTTTGTTCTTCCACTACTCTGGTCACGGCGGCCAGACTGAGGATCTGGATGGCGATGAAGACGACGGCTATGACGAAGTCATCTACCCCGTTGATTACAAGGAAGCCGGTCACATTGTCGACGACGAGATGCATCTCATCATGGTCCGACCCCTCCAGCCCGGCGTGAGACTTACAGCCATCTTCGATTCATGCCACTCTGGTTCCGCGCTCGACTTGCCCTACATTTACTCCACCAAGGGCGTCCTCAAGGAGCCCAATCTGGCCAAGGAAGCCGGTCAGGGACTGCTCAAGGCATTCACGGCTTACACCTCGGGCGACCTAGGTGGCGTCGCGAGCTCCATCTTCAGCTTCGGCAAGCGCGCCATTGCCGGCGACGATGCCTACGAAAAGACAAAGGACACCCGTACCTCTCCCGCCGACGTCATCATGTGGTCCGGCAGCAAGGACAGTCAGACATCGTGCGTTTTCTCATATATCATGCTTTGAGCAGTCGTAGAGAGAGTTGTAAGATCTAACAAAAGTTGTTCTCTAGTGCCGACGCTACCATTGCGAACCAAGCCACGGGCGCCATGTCGTACGCTTTCATCACGGCTCTTAAGAAGAACCCCCAGCAAAGCTACGTCGAGCTTCTCAACAGCATTCGCGACGTCCTGGAGGAGAAGTACACCCAGCTGCCTCAACTTTCAAGCAGTCACCCTATTGGTAAGCCGCGTCCATCTACTTGTCAATCAGGGGGGTTTTCCCTTTGGTGTATAATGCTAACCATCGTTTAGACACGGATCTTCTGTATGTGATGTAAATCTTCTGGTGTCCGATGCGGAACCTTTCCATAAGGAAAAAAAAAAAGCAGGGCACGCAAAGTTGGGAAACTGGTGCTTTAAAGCGTAGCAATGACAAATGTCATCCAAATACAAATGATTCATGATGACCATCGTTTCCCGTAAATTTGAACTGAAAAAAAAAAACAAAAAAAAAAACAAAAAAAAAAACTTTCATTTCTGATTCTATAACGTCTATAGTGATGGGTATCGTGCGAATTGCCTATGTGCGCCCCTCCGAGGCACCAGAAGCAAAAAAAGAAGAAAATGTGTCGACTAAACGCCCTCTCCCGTAGTTACCGTTCCATCTTGCAATTCAGGAAAGGGAAACTGACCCCTTCTACCAATGGGATATCACCAAACCATGTCCAGTGAAGTAAATGCTTACCGATGCCTAACGCGCTGAGTTCATGCCAAAAAAAAGAGATGAAGTTCAATCCCTCCTCCTCAATCCTCGCCGAAAGGGTCATCATCAAGAAGGTTGAAGACCGGAGTGGTCTTGACCCTCTTGCTCCCTCCCGAGGCTCCTACTCCGAGACGTCTTCCAAGAGAATGACCATCGTCGCCGCAGAGGTCAATAACGTCCTCGTCGTCGTTATCCTCCATCTGTCTCTTGCGAGGAACCGTGCCGGAGATGCGAGTATGACCCGGCCTCACGTTATGAGACCGCGCCGTAAGAGCTCCTGACGTGGCCCTCGCTCCTCCTCCAATCTCGCTGCGCGAACGTGGGGGGCTCTTCTCGTTCATAAGCGAAGTGAGCCTGGAATTCTCTTGTTGACTTGCGTCGACAAGTCCGCTGAACTGCGACCTGCTCGCGGCAGAGGACGCCGTGCCCGAGCTGATGATGTTACCCGAGGCCGACCGCACCTCGCATGTTGAGCCGTAACGACGCTTCTTGGAGCGCTCCGCGTCTAGGATTGCTGCCATATAGTCCGGCTGGTCGCCGCTGCCAGTAGCCGGTGATGGGCTACTCGAAGGGCTCCTAGGTCTAACCCCGAGGCCTAGTCGACTGTTGCTGGAATATCCTCCCCACAACGCGTTCAGACGCGGTGTAGGCTTAGGCGTAGGACCACCCATCATGGCGTTCAGCCGCGGTGTTTTGGAAGGTTCGTCAGGCGTGCTCTGGAGCGAGGACAATGGCTCCGAAGTCTCCATTAAGCCGGCTTGTCTGCTGAACGACGACAAGGGCTCTTTGCTCGAGCTGCTCCCTCCAAACGGGGCCAACGGGTCCCGCGTTCTTGATACGCTGGGATCGAACTTGCTGCCGCTGTCGCTTCGGGGCGTCTCTCTCGGCGTCAGTCTCTTGTCTAGCTTCGTCCGGAGTCTGGCAGTCGCTTCATCATCGTACTTGGGCGTAGACTCAAGCTCGATCCTACCCAAGTTCTTGAGTCGATCTCTCTTTGAGGTGCCGCTGGAGACGGGTACAGCATGTTGGTTGCTGCTGCTCGGAGCAGTTGAAGACTTCTCCTTTTTGATGCTCGCGCCAAACATCTCCCTAATGTCCCTGTGACCTGACCGCCTAGCTTCTGAAACGGTAGTGGACGAAGGCTCTGGCTTCACAATGTTCGCCATTTCCACATCCTCCACCTTTGGCGTTATCTGAGTATGAACCACCCTGTTGTGCGGTGGCAAGTCGTTTCTGGTCGGTGATTCTTGATAGCCCCTTCGAGGCGTCTCCAAAGACCCCAGAGAAGTGTTTGGAGCAGTTGAGCTCGGCCTAGATGGCGCAGCAGTCGTAACAGCCGAAGAAGCAGCCAAGGGTCTGGCGAAGGTGCTTGTGAGAGGCCCCTGAGACTCCGCATCTCCAAGCTTCCACATGATCCCACCCTTGTCTCCAAGGAACGAAAGTAGAACATCTGGGTCGAATTGATGAACAGCTCTGGTAGCCTCCTGTCTCCTCAATCTCTCAATTGTGCGAATTCTTTCGTTGACCAGCGAAAACTTGGTAAGCTGCATCGTCAGACTAGCCTCGTTCTTACCGTAGATGGCTGCTTTGATGGGCTTATCTTGCTTGTTGAGCTGTCCTTGAATATGATCCACAATTGCTCTGGGCTTCACCAAGTGGATTGTTTTCCAAGATGGTTGCTTGAAGAAAGAGTTAAGGATCTTACAGTGACCGCAACATTCAGCCATTGGGGGTATCGACTTTGGCTCCCGCTCGATCTGAACTGAGACATCCTCAAAGACTGCGCTCTCGTAATGCGCAAAGATGGCCTGGAATAGACATTGGTATGCCGGCTTGTCGGGGTCCACCACGTCCTGGAGGGTCTTAAGCAATGGTAGCCAGAGAGGTGCCAAATGGATGGGCTGAATCTCGCTAACATGCTGGGCAATGTGGTTTGCGAGATCGGATACTTGATCATCCATACCTAGACGATCAAGGTTTCGGAGTAGTCCAGCGATTATTGTGTAATTCGTTGGGCCCGGCTTTGAGAGGTCGTGAAGAAGTTCTTCTGTCGGTTCAGCAACGCACCAAGCCTGGCGAGCAACCTTGGCTTCAGTGCTGTGTTCTTTGTTGGTATTGCTAACCAAGTTCTCGATGTTCCAGAGCGTTCGTGATGCTTCTGTCACTCCTGCGTGCATCTCGTAAAACTCGGTGACTTGGTCAAGGGGGAGCTTCTGTCTCTTGGCCATCTCGAAAAGTCTGTTGAACAATCCGAGTATGAACTGACTCTGCTCTTGGGTTTCTCCAAGTCGGTGCACAGCTGCGTCCACCCTATTGACTATCAGTATGAGAAGAAACCAAAGAATAGGAAATGTACTTACGTGTCCCTCCACATGCCAAAGCCCTCAAACAACTTCAAGAGGTTCACTACGAGCCGGCCATGGCTAGCTGAAAGAGGAGCTTCAAGCATTCTAATAGCCATGATCCCCAACTCCTGGGTATAATGGCTCGAATTGTTGGCCTCAGTATATGCAGGCAGCTTCTCGACTATGCTCGCAACTTGCAAGAAGCAGTTGCCCCTGGAGAGGAAATGGCGAAGCCTTAGCTTGTGTTAGCTTTGATTGTTGATTGCAAATGTATAACTTACTCAAAAAGAGCATCAGCTGCCGAGTAGCCGTGGAAGATTGCATTCTGGCATATCCAATCATAGTCTACTATAGGCTTAGATTGGATGTTGGCAACAAGGGTTTGGAAAAGTTGATAGTCGTTGAACGCCAGTGAAGTCAAGATCAGATCACCCATGAGAGCGGGATCGATCTTTCCAATAAGATCTTCACGGCTCCTGACTCGCAGGCCAAGGATCTGTGTCTCTGGCAACTCATTGCCGTATTGAGGCCAAATGAATCGACAAAGAGACCTGAGTGCTTCAAAGTAGAACGCCGACTCTGAAGATTCTTTGCATTGCCGCAAGAGATAGCGCCAGAGGTTACCAGCAAGCTGAGTTTGATTGGTCATGTTGACAAATTCTAGTTGTGTTTGGAGAGGTGTAATGATGATTGCCTGTGCGCAATTAGAACGTAGTCACAATCATCGTGTTAGCTGGTCGCCCTGGACTTACTGGTGTGAAGTAATGTCCCAGGTCCCTACTAGTACCTGGGACAATGTTCTGGTACCACTGGGGATTTGCCTCTCGATATCTTCGTTCCTCGTGAAAAGCCCGCTCTTCACTGGGCCATTGCCATGAGAAGATTGACCGACGAGCCCTTTCCCAGAGAATGTTCCTGTCATCTAGAACATTGCCCGCATGGCAATCGATGTTTTCGGCAAGCGTGAAATCATCAAAGCTGCCAAAATACCCAATGCTGGGTAAGTGCCTGACATGCTGGTTGACCTGCCAGAAGCCATTCTGCTCAGGAGGTTGCGACCCGGCATTGCCGTCTCTCTGAGAGGAAAACCAGGCGTGGTACTGGCAATGTTTTCCTGTATACTTCATAACCACTGGAAGAACCTCGAAGCCTAGCCAAGGGCATAAGTCGATGAGACGAGTGATGAGGGTAGAGTCGGCAGCAGACATGTTCTGCCCCATGACCCAACTCTCGAATTCCATGGGATTTTTCGGGGCGTGGAAGTGGTAGATAGCATGTTGAAGTGATAGGGATCGATCCCGAATTCTAGAGTCCCAGTGCGTCAAAATTTCAGTGAGCCGACTGTATGCAGCATCTATTGCATGATTGGAGCCGGAGTGCTGTTCTGTCGTAGTCGGATAGCTTTCTGTCTCTGACTTGATCGCGAGGGACGTGTTGGGCCCACCACCGACTGCGTAAAGGGCCTCGATAGCCTGGTATAGCTCTGCTCTGAAGGCGCTGCTCAGTGGCGCGTTGGTGCCGTGCAAGATGCCGGGCCTTCGAGGTGCAGACTCCGGCTCCGACTCCGACATGACTGTATTTTCATGTGTCGCATTTGCCAAACGTCTCTGACGTTCTGGCAGTGGATGAATGAATGAGTCTGCAAAGGCAAGCTCTAAGGTCGGTTGTGTGAGTTGAACTTGAAAAGAGTTGGAGTCGGCGCGTTGAAAGCCAGAAAAGGAAAGGTGCAAAGAGCAAGTCGGCGCGTGCGTGGGGTAAGAGCGAAGCTCCAGAAAAATTACCAGAGCTGGCACGGGAAGCTGCGTTCCCTGAGGGTGCTGGGCCCACTCCACGATCGGCCCCACTTGAGTCCCCTTCCCCGGCAGTTGGCAAGCAAGAAGATCCAGTGCAACAAGCTCTTGTATGAAAGACTGAAAGATTGAGATGTCAACAATTTGAAAGAGAAAACTCGAAAGGTCCTCAAGCTATTACTTGATAGACCAAAAGAGGTTAATAAAAAAGTCTGTGTATGCGATTAAGAAAGGTATGTTCTAATCGTATGTAGGAGGTCGAAATCGGGACTCTCGACTGCCCATGAGTACGTCAGGGAGTACTGTTACCTAGATCAGTTATCTCGAAAGATCAAGAGCTGAAAAATGCAAACACTAAGCTGGACTGATCGATGATCGAACATATACCCCGAACTAGATCGGAGACTTCACGGCCTAACCGGGGCCTCTGGAGCTCAGAACCCTTCGACCAAATGGTCCGGTGCTTAGTGAAAAGTGTGGACACGAAGCTACTCATAAGGCAAGGCTCGAAGCTATTTGATCCGATGTCAAGGCCAGGCATTTAAGGTACTTTGAGTAAAGGGCGATCCCATCCTCTGTCGTTCCTTCCTGCTCGATCCCATCTCTAAGATTGGACCGCATGATCGCGCCTGCCTTACATTTATGCCAACGTGAACTCTTTGAACTATACTTTTACCTTGGACTTAGCTTCTGTTAAGAGTATCTGCCCTTCAATAAAGCAAATTCATATTCTCGGTTAGCTGGATATCACAGTCAATGATGGATGTCTTAACTACGATGTTTTGATTCTGGTGTCATGTTCCCTTCTTTCTCCCGTGAGTTCATATGGGCGAGTACTTTAGACTGCATCATGATATCTATAGAAGAATCATAAGCTGAATCCCACATCTACCCACCTTGAGCAATGTGAAAACTTTTGGTTCTATCATTAACTGCAGACAGCTACAAATCAACTCCAGGATATAATCACACCTCCGAGGTTTCGCCATCCAGTCATTTTGTGCGAACTATCATCCAGTCTTTACATCATATATCGCCGATCATGGTTTTCAGGCTGTTTCCAACACCGTAGCGCACCAACACTGAGGTAAGCTCTGAAATGCTGACCGTTGTCGAATTGGGTGTCCCAGGATATCAGAGCCCTCGAGGGCTGGCCGAGTCAGCCACCAAGTATGTCAAGTGGGCCTCAAGGGATCGACTCTAGCAAAGCCCATGGCACAGTCGCATGAACAGAGAGTTCATCCCAACTTGTGTCGCCATCATCCCGGGTACGCATTGATGTAGCTGGGAAGAGCTTTGAAAACCGTAGAATTGCGACCGTATACCAGAAATCTCGACCCGGCGCAGAATCCATTTTCTCATTCATAACCTTTCAAATGTCGAAAGCCCTCTCGCCAAAGCTCCTCCACACCCAGCTGGATACCATCCAGCCGCCCCAAGCAAAAGCCAGCGACGCCGTGAGCAACACGAGGGCCATCACGACGAGGACATGACCCCTCAGCTGGAACGCATCGTCGACTTCCGCGCGCAGCAGCTTCTTCTGTTTGCTGTGGTAGTAAAACTCCTCCCGCTCGTCCTTGGGACTCGGCGTCGTCGTTGGCGTCGTCGTTTTTGAGTCCTTGGCCTCTGCGTAACGGTACTGTGACCTCCGGTAGAGGATGCTGTGCAGCCAGGAAGGCATCCAGCCCTGCCGGCCGTGGTTTCTTGACCTTCTGATCGTGTAGGTGAGGTCCACCCAGGCCAGGGAGAGCAGAAATGAGACGAGGATGATGGGCGTCATTATAAACTGTGGCGGGAGTGAGCGGTTTTGCGCATTAGAACACGACGACTATGTCGCCTGAGATACCCCAGCTCGTCCGGAAACCCTTTCCGGCCCCTTCAGACCAACCCTAGGCTTCATGATACCGCGTTGAAATTGAGCGCGCGGGGAGCTTACCTTGTAAATGGTAGACTGCTGGACGGCTCCTGCGTCACTGCTGCCTCGCGTGGCAGTGACTTTGGTGGCTGTTGTTGATGACGACATCGTGCTCCCCCGATGGCTGGAATACTTGCAGAGTCCGGTCCGTGGTCGATGGACTTTTAGCTGGAAGTGGCTTACGAAGCTTGGATTCGGGGCTTTCTGGCAACCTGCCAGCGACTTTTCTTTTCAGAAGTGAGGTTAAAATCAAGATTTCAGAAAAAGGGAGGAACGTCAAAGACGGCGGCGTGCGGAGATAGAAATATGTCAGTAAGGTAAGGTACCTGATCATCGGTAGCTTCGGCGCGGGCGGGCAGCACCGCCGCCGTGCTGCCACTATCCGTACTGGGCCTAAATTTACCACCGCCTCGGTTTCGGTTGCCAGGTGGTGCGCCTTACCTACCTTACGGTACTTTGCGCGCACTGCGGTCGGGATACGGGAGTGACGGAAGGTCTCCACTTGGCGCGTATTGGGGGATCACTGATCAGCAAGACATCACATCACACCTCTCTCTCAACACAGGCCAAAGAATTGCTGTTGAAAAAAAAAAACCGAAACACACAGCTCACGCAGAGCATCGATCGATACCTATCCCATTCGCTCGTGCGGGCCCGAGGACCCGAGCCCCCCAAAGCCCCTAGAGCTTTGTTGATCAGGGGTGCCCAGTGCGTGGCTCTGCTCATTTTGATTCAGCCCTGCATCCACAGAAGGAGGAGCCGGCCGATGAGGCCGAGCAAAAGTGCAGAGCCTCGAAATGCAACGCTAGCGACGCAAGTAATGTCGACGCCTCAATGCCATACGTACCATCTAAAATATCATCACCTCAGCCACAACTGCTCACGGCTCACTTGTGTCGGCGATGGGCGACCGTTTCACCCTACTCCAGCTTCATCTTCGCTTTCGGCCATATCTTGTTCTTTGAAGCTTTTGCCGTTACTCCAATTGCGACATGTTGGCAAAGGCTTGCATTCTTGCTGACATTCTTGTAGGAGCATTACATATGTCGTGGTATTCATCTATTTTTCCTTTTCAAAAGATTGCAACATCTATCGAGTATTGTGGATATCGAGCACCAAAATGTCCTGAGCGCCAACGCGGGTCAAGTCGTCCATCACCAGCGCAATCTTCTTCTTCTCAACCATAGAGCTGACGGCGACCCAGCCCTCCTCGTCCAGCGTTGTGATGGTCGGCGCCCGCTTGCCAGGGGTAATCTGCTTAGCCTCGACCAGACGTGACCTCTCAATGTTGTACTGGCACAGGACGAATCTCTGAGCGGTAATGACACCGCGGATACGGGCGGCGATGAGCTCGATCAGCTCGGTGTTTGACGGCGACCGAGACTTGATGAGGCAGGCTTGAGAGTCGACGACGGTGTCAATGGCCTTGAGGCCGGCGGCTCTCATGGTCTCACCAGACTCTGGACGCGGATGTCAGTGCTTGTTCAGACGCTGGCCATTCCAGGACGACTACTTACCAACAAGGTCAACAATGCCATCAGCGACACCCAGCGCACAAGCAGCCTCGACACTTCCACTGAGATCGATAATCTTGGTGCGGAGCTTCTTCGGCGAGGTGTTGCTGTTGCCATCGGCGTCGACGCCCAGCTCCAGCTTGGCAAAGTGCTCCGCCGCCAGGTTGACGAAGCTGGTGCCAATGGTCTTGCCAACCAGGTCCTGCGTCGTCGCGTAAGGGCCCTTCTCTGGGACCTGGGTCTGCAGCTTGCAGTGGCCGAAGCCGAGCTCCATGACCATCTCGCAGCCTCCGACCTTTTGGAGCTCCTCGCCCTCGGCGTTCAGCTCGACAGAGGCTCTTCGAGCCTTGTTGCTGCTGATGACGCCGGCATCGTGCTCCTTGACCTGGTCCCAGCCCGTGATACCAAGGTCGACGCGGCCCTCGCCGACAAATGTGGGGATATCGGCGGCGGGCAGGAAGATGAGGGCGATGGGGAGGTTCTTGACGAGGGCGATGTCGAGGCGGTTCTCGCGGCGGAACTGGATGTCGGCTCCCTCAAGCAGGTTGAGCGTAGCGGAGTTCAAGCGGCCCTCTGTGGAAAGGAGTGATTGTCAGCATGTGCGCCTCTTGAGATGAAGATTATGGGTTGACTCACTCTTGGGGACGGCGAACAGAAGGCGGCCCTCTAGGCTTTGCTTCGTCATTAGCTTCTCTGCGAAGTGGTCCATGGTGGTTGTGATGGAGGGGTAAAAACCAACTGGTTGACCAAATCCATGGTAGGCAAAGGTATGTTGCAATGACGCGATCGACAGACGGGAATACAATAGGTGGAGAGAAGTCGCTCCCAGAGTTGAAACGCTTCAAGAGGTTAGGTGGAAACGGTCGGGTCGGGCGCGTGTGTGGATTGGAGCACAAGGTCGCAGTGAAGCCAATGGCGACGAGAATTTCTGCAGCGACAGCGGCGGGGTGGTTTTTGGGTCACACAATACAGGTCGGTGTGAGGTGTTCCGAGGGGTGGTTGCGACTTGAAAAGCGAACGTGGTTTCGAGTCAATTGGTCTGGGACTCGTGTAATGATAAAAGTCGAAGTCTGCGCGACTTTGTTCTTGGTTATTGCGGAAGCTGTCCGTAGGGGGGTGACTATACTTGTTCGATTCTGCGGTGAGTCAAAGACCGGGCCAAGACTGGAAGAGAGAGAGGGCGGAAATTTTGTGTGGTGGATTGGAACCCCGCCGTCTTAGTGTGCGGCAGCAGTCGTCACTCATCACCGCGGGCCACCACCACGTTGGCCTATGTCGGAGCTGCGACTGGCGCAGAGAGCGCGAGTCGATGGCGGGGCACGCCGTTGAACGCGGGGCAGTCCTTGGACAGAGTGACGGCACACGCCGGAGGGGCAGGCGGCACCTGCGTCCGTTCTCACAGCGGGCCTCTGCTGAGGTAAGCTGCCTAGTACCTCTGAGATTTTGCTTTTACTTGCCCGTTCCTGAGTTGAAGGGGAGAAGGAGATGCACGGAGTTGCAAAATAGGTACACTCATTTTGCGGTACTGTATGATAATTATAGGATACATTAAAGAATTTCATCATCAAAGGCGTTTGATCTTATGTCGCTATTGAAAAGAAAGCTAATGTAACATCAAGGACAGCAAAGATATCATCCCTGGTAGGCAAGTTCGGGCAATCTATGTTCAAGTTGCTTTCGCTCTACTGGGCCATTGCTGAAGCTCGAGCCCCCGAGTAGAGGCATGACTGCCGTTCAGTGCGTAAAGGGAACTAACTACCTGAGAGATTTGGAGTGATACCAATAATTGTCTACTATTACTCGGGAATGGCCATGTCTCGATACTCTCGTAGAGCATCTCTTTTCTGGCCACTGTAACTCCTAACAAAGTGTGTGAAAGTTGCACTTGGGTTCTTTAGGTGCCTAGGTAGGTGGCCAGAGCTTCCAACGCGAGAAACTCCCCGTGTAAGCTTCGATGTGGCTTCAACTTTTAAGCCATTCTGTCGGGTCAAGTGCCTGGGGAATTGGCAGACAATACCTTATCGTGGATGAAACCTGGGAGGAATTCCCACTCAACGAGTGGGAGTTAAGGGCAATCTAAGTTACTTTCCATTGTTTCAAGCCCCATTAAATCAAAACTCTTGATCCCGCGGGTTTCCTCGTTTCCATCACTTCTGGTGGTCTCCCACGCATTGGGTACCTTGCTATCCCTTCCATGTTCCATCAAGCCACGCATCCTCATCTACATGAGGGAAGCATAGCAAAGTAGGCCGAGAGCTTGCTTCTCTGAGGACCCTGACCATTGGGTTGATTTTTGCTTGCTCTCTTGTTCTTATGCATATCCTGGGCTGTCTTGTCCCATCGGACCCCTATTGCCTAAGGGAGGCAATACCTAATCATTACATTAAGGTACCCCAAGCTCCCGACTCTGCACAAGGTGAAGTTGAACTGTGAGGTGGTGAGTTACCCGCCCTGCCAATTTCGTATTGCATTCCGGTCGCCCAGCTTGCCCCCTACCTCATCATTTCCCCCGTACGTACTCCGTTAGGTACCTTGGACCCTCGATGCTCCTATTCCATGCTGGGCCCACCATAGCTCGACGTTACCTACCACCACTCCTCTGGCCTGCACATCTTGGACCTCCGTTGCATCCATCCCCAATCTGCCAGCAAAGTTTACTCCCGTTGGTTGATCTTCCTTTCACAACCACGGAATTGTGGGCATGACGCGCACCCGGTCCTGATATCCGCAGTGGCCGCGACGCCCGGATTACTTTAAATTCGGTCCTGGTCCACACCTTGAAAACCCCCCTGCCCATACGCAAGCCGCCCGCCCTGCCCTTGGCAGCGCAAGCAGCCTGCTGTACGGAGTGCTGCGCCGGCCCCTTCGAATGGCCCATACGTCGGCTTCGACGACTTCGTCGCACAACTCCTCATCCTCACACCTTCACCTTTCCTCCTCGCCGTATGACCGCGACTACGACGACGATTACTCGTGCGGGAAATCAACCCCAATAAGGACGCCCTCCAGATCTTCCAGTAGCAACATCGATGACGACAAGAGCGGCAACGAGCTAGATGACGACGTCCACTTTCCCTTTGCAATCCGCGAACCCCCAGAAGCGCACCGAGAAGGGGACACGAAGCTTTTTGGTCTTGGCAATTTTCCCCGACGTCATACGGACACGTTCAGAAGAGGCGAGGACGACGACGGTCACGATTACCCCGAAGACGACGACGCTTTCGTATTAGAGCAAGATCCCGCAGGGATGTCTAGCTGGGCGGGACAGCCCTCCATTAGGGGGAGCTCAGAGGCCATGCGAATGGTGCTCTTGACCTTCAATACTCTTGGTATCACGTATGTCGCAAGCGACGATTGCCAGTGGGTCTGCCATACTGACCAGGTCCTAAATGCAGCTTCACATGGGGAATTGAGATGACCTGTACGTCGCCGTACATCCACCATCGCCAGTGTTCGCATACTAATTCACCTTGACAACAGATTGTACACCATACCTATTGAATCTCGGCCTCACAAAGAGCAACACCTCGCTGGTATGGATCGCAGGGCCATTATCGGGCCTCGTAGTTCAGCCTATTGTGGGAGCTATCGCGGACGAATCCAAGTCGAAATGGGGCAGGCGGCGACCATTCATCGTGATAGGGTCAATTATCGTCGCAATTAGCCTGCTGACCTTGGGATTCACAAAAGAGATTGTCGAGATGTTTGTTTCGGACAAGGAGACTGCGCGAATCTTCACAATCATCCTCGCAGTGGTGGCCATCTACTTTGTGGATTTTGCCATCAATGCTGGTGCGTTGAATTTGGCCTGTACGCAAGCCTCTCGTTATGTCTGAAGCTGACTTTGGCACAGTCATGTCTTGCGCAAGAAGCCTGATCGTCGATACTCTTCCCATTGAGAAGCAACAGACTGGCGCCGCGTGGTGTAAGTGAAGCTCGCATCATCACCCCAGGTCGCATCCCGTCCGCTAATCCCCACAAAGCTAGCAGAATGTCCGCGATTGGACACATGCTGGGCTATGGAGCCGGTGCCATCGACCTGGTCGGCATATTTGGAAAGACAATGGGTGATTCGCAATTCAAGCAGCTCACGCTCATCGCCACGTTCTTGATGCTCTTCTCTTCCGGAGTCACCTGCTGGGCTGTCACTGAGCGGGTCTTGGTGTCGACCAGACACGACCCCCGCAAAGCCACTGGGCGGTTCAAGGTCTTCCGCCAAATTTGGTCGACGCTGCTCCACCTTCCCCCTCGGATTCAGGCCATCTGTTGGGCCCAGTTCTGGTCCTGGATCGGCTGGTTCCCGTTCTTGTTCTACAGCACCACCTGGGTTGGCGAAACGTACTTTCGATACGACGCTCCAGTAGAGGGCAAAGACTCCAAAGATGCTCTTGGCGACATTGGCCGCATCGGTAGTTTGGCGCTGGTCATCTACTCGACCATTACCTTCATAGGCGCCTGGCTCCTACCCATGGTTGTCAAATCGCCAGACGATGACAACTTTACGGCTCGGCCGCCCCAAGCCATTGCGCCATTCCTCGAAAGATTCAACAAGAACAAGCCCGATCTCATGACCGCCTGGATATGTGGCCATCTCATGTTCGCCGCGGCCATGTTCCTGGCCCCTTTTGCGCAAAGCTTTCGCTTCGCAACCTTCCTCGTCGCCTTCTGCGGCTTATCGTGGACGATCGCCATGTGGGCGCCGACGACCTTCCTCGGCGTAGAGGTAAACAAGCTCAGTGGCGCCCGCGAAGGAGGGAGCGGGACAGCAGCCTACCGCCGCCTTTCAAACGACTCCAACATTGAGCTGCCCACGCTCGGCCAGGACCAACCACTCCATCTGGAACACGGCCCTGACGAGGGTGGCCAGCAGACGACGTCATCTACGGGCGAGCTGTCGGGCATCTACTTTGGCATACTCAATATCTACACGACCCTGCCGCAGTTTATCGGAACCTTTATAAGCACAATTGTCTTCACCATCCTAGAGCCAGGCAAGAGCCCCGAGTTGTCAGACGCACCCGAACACGAGCAGCACAACACCGACGGTCCCAATGCTATTGCTGTGTGTCTCTTCATCGGTGCCATTTGTGCGGTAGTGGCCGCGTTCGCCACGCGAAAGCTCAAGTATCTCTGAGTTCCAATGTACAAGTAGGAAAGAAGAAACAGCACGGATTTCATTATTGTAAGGGTAAAGGCAGCGTAGGGGATATGGGATGGCGTTACGGAAAGGGGTGGAGAGCGAGCTCTCTCGGATTAGATCATGTGTGGGATAAAACACATATGGCTCTGGCTTCATTCAAGGGATCTCGAAGAAATGGCACATCTCGCGGCTACGGGACTTGGCTGGATGTAGGGGATTTACGTTCCAGCATGGCCCTCAATGAATACAATCAGTGTCACGGATGATTGATGCTGCCACTGGTGTGAATCGCTGTCTTGGTAAGTATGTGTACGTGGAGCTGCCCACGATGGAGCATGCTGCCAAAGTCCTATGTACAAGTCCGGTTCGGACAGTGGTAGCGCATGTGTCGACGCTTGCTCAAGGGTATCTCAAATCTCTCGTTGCGCGGATGCGTCCCGAACATCTGTGTCTCCACACAACTCCCCGCTCTCTTCTCGTCCTCCGCCACCTCCTCCAGAGTGGTAGGATATTCGAGTGGTATGCATCGCTCGACGAGTGGTGTTGGTTAAGCGTATCGTCGTCATGTGTGTTCCGTACGTCGTCGTCGCGCCTCGACGCTCATTCACTTGTCCTTCTCGTTCTCGTTCTCTGAAACCTTTTCCCACTCATCCTCGGTGCTCACGCTCGACTGCGTACCCCCGTTAGTGGCATCTTCAGCTCCAGACTCGGCGGCGGCGGAAACAGCGGTGCGACGCTTCAAGTCGGCCGCTTGCTGCTGCTCCGCAGCTGTCTCGACCTGGCTGCTACCGCCCACAACGCCCTTCCTCCCGCGAGCGCCACCCCTTACGCCGCCAACAATGGCGCCGCCCTCAACTTCGGTGTCGCTATCGTCCGTTCCTTGAGTATTGGCCCCTGCCACGCTGCCTCCTGCTGCTCCGCCGGCGGATGTATCGGTACCGCGCGCCTTCTTGGCCTCTTTCTCTGCGTGTTCGGCCAGCTCGACGACGAACCAGTTAATAGCGTACCAGAGGCCCGCACTGAGGAAAGAGAGGATGACGAAGTGGATGCTCCAGGTGGCGAGAAGGAGGACGCCGAGAAGGAGCTGGAGGGCGGCAAAGGTTGCGTTGGTTGCGCGAAGGAGAGTCGGTGTTGGGCCTGGGGTGAAGATTGACTCCCAGAGGTTGGTGACGAAGGCCGCCATGATTGATGTGGAAGGAGGGGCTTCGATGTCTATGTTATGTATGGCGTTTACGGATGCACAGGTTCGTCTTCGGCAGATCAAATGTTGTTCTCGTATCGCTCGATCGTTGCGTTCGATTTCGCGGAGGTGATGCGCGGCTTGACAGAGTGAAGACTGGCCGCGGTATTGTTTGTAGTGGTTGGGTGTGATGTTTCTTGGTGGAGTATTTCGCTTTTGGGCAGGGAGCTTTGGAGGAGTGGATTCCGGTCTGTTCTAGCTTATGAGAGCTGCTTCGGAAAGATGACCGGGGTAGGATGTTCTGTTTCTTTTCAAAACGTGAGACGACGCTCGTGGCGGCTTTTTATTTCGCGATGATGCTGTTGTTTCGTTTGGATTCACAGTCAGACGGCAGAGTCAAGGCGGTAAGAGCGCATAATAAATAGCGTTTCTGGGTTGAGCAACAATTGGGTTGAGGGAGGGGGCAGGAAAGAGAGGGGTCCCTTCCGGCTGCTTAGGAAGGTCAGGGAAGGTGGAAGGTCACCTTATAGGTGAGGTCAGGTAGGTAGGGGCAGGCGAGGTACCATTTGACAACACGCGCGGGTTGTGGCGGGGGTTGGGAGAAGGAGGGGAGAGGGGGAAGGGTCGAGATAATGTACCTTTTCTTTTTTGGCCAACAGCAAGCCAGAGGAGACACGGTATTATCTCTATTGTCCTTTTCTACGGCATCTCTCTCTCGGAAGGTGGATGCAACGTGGTCACTCGGTGTTTATAGCATCAGAACAGGTGGCACAATAGAGAACAAGAGGTGACCGTGGCCTCGCGACAGTTGACTCCAACGTGTTGGGATGTTTACGGGGCTGGTTGTGGTTGTCAAGAGAAAGTGTCATAGGGTTGCCTATTAGGCAGACAGACAGGTCGGTTCCGTCTCTCTAGGTGGTCACGGATTGCCCAAGTCAAACACGACGACAAATACCGTCAAGCAACGCGGAGGGACCGGTCACAGCACGCGGCCCTTCGGAACACGATTCTTTGGCTATTTCTGTGCAACAGGAATGGAGCGGCGGGAGGCCGGAATGACCCCTCCATGGCTCGGGAAACGTCACCGTCGGGTTCTTTCCTCCTGGGGTCGTGGGGTCGTGACCTCTCTAACGCAAAGCTTCCACTGAGCCGAGGCGAGGCGAAGGGGACCTGCTGACCTGCTTGTTGGAGCCGTCGAAGATGAGTTGCGGGGTGAAGCGTATAGAATAAGCGTTCTTGTCCTTACTGCAGTGGCGGTTTACCTTATATTGACTGTTTTCAGTCAAAATATGAGAAGTCAAGTCCCTCATTTGGTCCGTCACTGTTGCTTGCTCTGCTTGCTTTCTGTAGGCTACCGTGAGCTAAGTAGGTATGGGTGTGTTCCATCTTCCATGCTCAAAGCACCTCAGTAAAGTATGTGGTGGGGGTCAGTCACGTCGTCGGCGATAACAGTTGCCGGATTTCGGTTTCATTCTGAGCCATACACCAAGAGCAATAGGCGGGATCTCTGTCAATGCGGCCGGCCACCAAAATGATTGCACAGTTCCTTACTTAATACTATGTTGGGGACAGCACCACCCTTAGACTACCTGTATTCTCCTCGGGTGTCAACTGAAGATAGATAGTACGCAGATCATGCCGAAAAAGCTTAAATCCTTATTGTCAGTGCCGCCAGCATCAAGCAGGAGCTGCATGTAGCAGCGCGCTGAAGCCTTTGAGGAATCGGAATCCGGACATCATGGCGCAGCTTGAGGTAAAGCAACGGTAAGCTCAAGTATACAAGCTGATCTGAGTTGCGCTGGGTTAAGTTGAGTCTCTTCATCTGAAAGAATTGAGAGTAACGCTATTCCATGCTTGGATCATCGGCCACGGTGCACACATCTGTTTCTATGCATTACCCCATGAAAACGACGGGGGACAGAATATGCATACATGAACCGACGGGAGGAGAAGGGGCTAGGAGCTGTTTGCCGTATTTGCATACGGATATGTGTTCATATGCGTGTCTTCCTCCACAGCCGTCGGAGAATTTGAGCTTGCAGTTAATCTATCTCATTCGCATGGCAGGCCTGTCTGTGTGAGATATCGGCCGTCTCAAAGAAAGGAGTGTTAGGCTATTGCGCAGTATGTAATCCGTATGTTGTGACTGACTAAGAGAGCAGGTCCAACAAGTGAAATGCCCTTGCTGCCAACGTAAGGAACCACACGTTACAAGATGATCCTGGGGTTCCGCCCCCAAATCTGGAACTGAAGGTGCGGGACCGAAGACTTATGGGACCCGACAAATATACCCCTACCTTTCCGTACCTATTCTTCTAAATCCGTACTGCCGCCGCCGGCTCGCTCTGGATTTGAAGTACCTACTCCGTACCTTACCTTACCTTATCCAACTGACTGCCCTCACTCAGGTGCAACACCATCTTCCTTGTATCCATTTGCTTCCTGACGACTTCCATCACTTAGAGCAAGCAAGAAGGAGAACCCTTGAAAGGCAAGTTTTTGGTACCGTGGTACCCTGCCTCTTGTTTCCCTTTACACCAATCAGATTGCGAAAACAATTCACTTCTGGTCGGAAGTTTTACCCCATTTCTCACAGAGGAAAGAGCAGCAGTCGAGAAAAGGTACCTTCCTTACGTACACCACGCACGATATCCGGGGAACGTGTGACCGGACCACCCACCTTAGCGCGGAGCACATTGGGAAAGACCTTGGCTAACCTAAGCTGGTCCACCCACGTCCACCACCGGATCGACGACTGACGACTGCACCTGTACCGGCAACCAACGCACCACCACCACCTCTACCTCCGCCGCAACTACCACAATTACCGCCGTCGCCGTCGCCGCTTCCTCCTCACCACAGAGCCGCAACGAACGAAATTTCATGACACCCCATGTCCGTCATTTCTGACATAACATGATTGGTCTCGCGAGACCTCTGCTGTCGCCAGCCTTTCTTTGAGTCCCTCAACAAAGCATTCCCAATCATCTTCTTTCAGCCCGGTATTTTCTTTAATCCATTTCACCATCTTGTTCTCTGGCCCATCCGCGGGTTTACAAAAAAAAGAACAGGCCCAAAACGCGCCTTCCGCATCCGAGCCAAGATACCCACGATCGCTTCCTCTGACGACTCACTCCTCACCCCGACAGTACCTTACAGCATCTTACGCGATTGAAAACCGACAGAAGCCACGCCATTGTAGCAGTAGCAGCCTACAATATCAATCGACAACCGCTGCCATCGCAATCCGAAGCATGCGCTGAGGCCCCTCGCGATCATGGCCCCAGCCCTGCAGACCAGCGATCCAATGACCCATCAAGCCGCCGAGCCGCATCCGAACGAGGTCGAGCTTCCCTACCACAATGACGTCCCAGGCCACCCCGCATCCGTTGACTACGATGGCGTCCCCGATGCTTCGGTAGACCCCGCCATCGTCATGCGCAAGCTGATGAAGGGCAAGGACAAAGAATGGGATGCTGTCGCGCCCAGCAAGTCAGGCAAGAAGCTGACCCTTCTCGAGTTGCCGGTGGACATCTTGCGCTTGATCATTAAGGAGGCAAGTTGAGCCGCTGTCCAATATCTCGGCCTCTCCCCCCAGTACTGACATTTGAGATTTCCAGATCACGCACACGAATGACCTTACCTCGCTCGCCTTGACCAACTCGAACCTCCACAATCTCGCGATCCCCCACATCTACTCGAGATTCGATATCGTCTGGCCCGATGCCACCCAGATGGCTACGTCCGACTCGAAGAGTGTCGATGCCCTAACCTACGGCCTATCTACAATCTGCCTCGGCAGTTCCTTCGCGCATCGCACCCGCAAGATGCTCAACCCAAGCTACATCCCTTCCTACGGTTCCAACGTTCGGAGACAGAAGAACGACTACGCCAAATACACGAAGAAGTTCTCACTGGGCAACGGACCACAGGATTGGGTAGCCGAATACATGATCTCCAAGGAGAGCGGCAAGATGCTGGGCACGCTCGTCGCTCTAGCTGTGGAGAAGATGGTCAATCTGGAGTCGTTCGTCTGGGATATGCCCACTGGCGTTTTATCCGAGATCTTCATGGCTCTGGCATCCATTCCTGAACAGAGCTCGGAGGGCGAGTCAAAGCTGGGAAAGGTTTGGGTGAGATGGCATGACAACACCGACGGCTCCAGTCCGTCGCCATCGTCGAGTCCGCCTCCCCCGATCCCGCCTCTCGTCCCACCTGGCAGCCACCTCACTACAGTCGGCATCTTGATTCCTTCGGACTCTGCTCATCCGGCGCCGCGGGGCGCGATCCCGTACGCGGAAACAAATATCGAATTTCCTACCTTCAGTGTTCTGCCTCCGCTCAAGAGTCTGACTGTCCTCGACATTGACGAACTTGCTTACCTGGACGAGATGGCCGTGGCGATCGAAAGATCGAAAGACTGTCTACAAGAGCTTCGTGTCGGCATCTCCCCGAGAGCCGTTTTCAAGGACTTTGTCCAAGCCTGGGATGGGCCCGACTTGCAGCAAATCGATCGGGATGCCAGATGGCCCGGTGAGAGTTCCATTGGAGAGAGAAGATTAGGCGGTGTTTTGGGCGTGCTTGTCGGTCGTATCTATGACATTCGCCGCAAGTCGACGTCGAAATCAAGAGAGAAGGCCCCCATGGCATCGACGCAAGCGACACAACAAACCAATACCGACCACTCTGCTACGGATACTACGGAGACCTCGAATGTCTCGGGGCAGCCCAACCCGAACGAGCCAGACGCTATGGAAGTGGATGGCTTAGTTGAGCCGCTCGTGATCCAGCCAACGGGAGCTGCTCATGCCACAGATGACCGAGCAGGCCACGAGGAAAAGTCACAGTCTGTGAAAGACCAGGCGACCGGTGACCGGGACCTCGTGGATACACCTTCGGGTGTGCCGAGAAGAAGGCTGGACGGCAAGCTCAAGCTACGTTCTCTCGAGCTCGAAAGAGTTCATCTGTCAATTCAAGTTTTCAGCCAGGCCTTCGACTGGACTGTCCTCACCACATTGACTATCCTCGAATGCGCCCAGCACGACACTCTTTGGAAGGCATTGCGAAAGCAATTCGCTCCCACTCCGATTGTCAGGCTTGGATCCCATCAACACCACGCCAGCTCTAAGCAAGCTATGGAGTACCATCTCAACCTCAAGAGCATTCACACAGATGTCACTTCGGTGGCTTTGATCAGCTTCCTTAGAGACACTCTAGCTCCTAACAGTCTAGAGGTCCTGTTCTTGCAGGATCGGAGACGGCCCAGTGGACCGCCAGCGGTGACCATCGATCAAATCTTTAAGGGGGTCATCAAGAAACACCGGGCGAGCCTACAAAAGGTTCTTCTAGACAGTTCAGATCGGAAGCGTAGCAATGGCAACACTGCCACAGACACCGCTCGCTGGCGCAACTGGGTGCTTCCGACGGACATGTTGCTTTACATGACCAGTGGGCGCATGGTGAGCCTAAGAGAATTGGCCATTTCCTTGCACTTCAAAGACTGGGTGAGTTGTTTTTCGTTAATCTCTTTTGCACATGCCTCAAAGCTAGTGAACACGTGTGCCTCGTATCACGGGTTCATTTAGCAACAATCACAGCTCTTACGATCGTCGTGATGATGCCCCGGCTTTCCAGAGAAGCAGGATCTTGAGGGCTTCTAATGCTAATGATGGCTACAGCACACATTCCTTCAGCGCTTGCCAAACACCCCTCAGCTACGGTCTCTCAACCTGCAGCATATTGCCGATCATATACTCGGCAATTTTGACCCTCGAGAGTTGGCGCTGCAGATGGTCGATATTATCACCCTTCGCCCTGATATTCAACTCTGTTACGTGGGCATTTCTACAAAGTGCTTCGAGATCTTGGAAAGCAAGCCGGCAGAAGAAAGCGGTGCGTCAACCACGAGTATCGCGGCTGACCATGGTGTTATGGGCCACGAATCTGGAGTCGATGGCGAAGACGATGACGAGGAAGATGAGGTCGCTACGGATGACGACGACACGGCGAGTCAGGTGGATGAAGACACCTCTGAGGAGGAAACCGATGATACCCCGGGGAATGCAGTACATGCGGATGACTCGCAGTCGGAAGCATCTGTGGCGCAAGACTCGGACGACGATGAATCGATGCGAGACGCCGACTATGGCACCTCACGTCCTCGTCTCCGACTCCGCGAAATTCTGTTCTATGATGATAAGGTAGCAATTTTCAAGGCTCGGCACGGCAGACTGTGATATGGTCTCTGAAATGGAGCTACAAGTGATCGAGGGGGGAGGGGATGGAAGGGAGGCACATGGATGGATCAAAACTTGCATACCACGGAGGCATTTGCGAACGATACAGAGAGACGGTTGAATACCAAGGCGAAGGAGGTTTTGCAAAGTACGTTATCTTGAGGTTTTGGGGGCAGCCTTGTTTTCCCTCCCCCTAGCGGACTAGCCTAGTCGTCTTTTCCTCTACATCAATTGATATCCCCTCCCGTGCTGAATAGCAGCATGGGGAGCCATTGTTAATTCAATTCCCTTTCCCGGGCCTCTTGTGTCATGGTTCGCAGCTCACTTGTCTGTTGGATACGTCAAGCCCAGTAAAGTCAACACGGTGTGTTTGATATAATGGAACAGTATGATTCTCGTCCTCTTGTCAGTTCTATACAGAGGAGTATCATGCCCAAGAGGTAGACGATATAGTCTTTGTCCATCTATCCATCACACTGGAGCCCGCCTAGTGGCTGACTTTGCAGAACTGTTCAAGACACTTTGATATCAGGAATAGATCTGCAGCAACGATCCGTTTACCCCCGCGCACAAGCAGGTCTGGACGTTGTCAAGAGGTGATTGCCATACAGAACCATTCTTTCCTAATCTACCTAGGGTACCTACGAACGACTACCCAGACTAGACCAAAGATGTTTTGTCTGGAACGTTACGTCCAAAGTCCCACCCCTGATTTATTCTTTTCCTCCTTGGCTTTCCTATGCTTGCCGTCCCACCTCGCCCACCGGCGTCTATTTTTTGCTCTTGGAAGGATGGGGGGAGGTGAGATGGGTACTTGAGAGGCGAGATAGGCGCAGAGAAGAGGTGACAGGAAGGGACAGGGGAGGGTGTACGGATGGATGGATGGATGGATGGAAGGGGGGGGTGGGGGGGGTGCAGTAGGCAGTTCGGGACAAGGCGGAGGAAGGAAGTGTGATGGGAAACTTGCCACCCCTTTTCTTCAGATGTAGATGGAAGGATGGATGGCATGGCATGGCATGGCATGGGATTGGGGGAGAGGACGCAAGCAGACCTTGCATGCGTTAGCCGTTTCGTGCCTGCGGGATAGGGAGAAGCTAGAGGTAAGGGAAGGAAGCGACCACTATAGCACCATCACCATATTCAGCAGGAAGCAAGCTCGTTGGAGAGGGTAGGGGAGGAGGATGGATGGACATCCGTCTTTCCGGCTTTCCGCACCGTACCCGTACGGCGTGGTGTACTCCCGCTTCCAGGAGGGGGACATGGGGGAGGAGTTAGGGGGGGGGGGAAGGGAAGGCAGCTTGATATGGAGGGTAAGGCACGTACAATCCAATGGGAAGTTTGTATCTCCATTTCCCCCAGAACGAAGCGTTTGGTCGACATTGTGTACCTCTGTTATAAAGTGATATGTTGGACGTGTTGGAGTGGGACTCTATCAAGTTGTACATGTGTGTACGTATGTCAAGTCAACCAAGGATGCCACTAGCGCGTTTCTTTCCTGGGATCAACTTTCGGCTTTGTAATTTCTTGGGAAGAGAAGACCTCGATTACCGCGAGTTCCTCAAGAGTCTAGTACAAGAGCTCTGAATGGTCTGATGGATAGAGAGAAGAGGGGGTGATGGAGGATATCTACGGAACTTACCCTGCTGTCACCACCCCCCCCCCCTCCCCCGTTCTCTTCTCCTAGTCCTAGTCGTAGTCCTACTTCTCGTCCAACGATGATGTCTATCTTCTTGTATATCGTAACCCAAGTCTAATGGAAGTGTACAACAGCCGTTGAGGGGAGCAAAAAAGTCCTACGTCTAGGCTTAATCGAGAGACTTTCCATCGTTATGAAGGTGGGTGGGAAATCAGACCCTTCCTTTCCACCTCTTGGCCGCCCCGTTCCCCTTTCTTCCCCGAGTGAAACCGGCGGGTTCGAAATGGAAGGTAAAGGTAGGCACCGATGTGAAAGTTGACGAGGCGAAGTGCAGAAAAGGAAGAAGAGAATGAAACAGATCTCTTCTGTTCTGGAAGTATTCTGCGCCCTCTGTCTCTCTGTCTCTTCTTCCGCCTTGTCTCCATCGCTCCAAGTCTCGGGGAGATACATATGATCTTGTTCATCCGCAGCCCCCCTTGTCTCGGTGGCTTTGAGTTACGGAGTATGTATACATGGTTCCGTGTTGTCAGTTCTGACGGAGTCCCTACAAGAAACGGTGTTCCAGAGTAACCCCCATAAGCAATGATGCAACACTGTCGAACTCCATCGAGCTTGACCAGTCCTAGGCCTGCAGATAGATGTGGGAAGGAAACAGGCAAAAAGAGAGGTGGGGGTGGTGGTGGTGGTGATGGCGCTTCACGGTGGTGGTGGTGGACATGGGGGCTTGCGCACTGCGGCAGGAAGGAGGAAGGCGCAAGGAAACAAGCAGGTGGTGATGAGGGTATGCGAGTGGAATACCCGTACGGATACAGAAAGGGGTAGGGGAGAAAGACAGAGAAGAAAAAATCTAAACCCAAGAACGAGGGAAAGGAGTCAAGCGGGAGGATCGTGATCCTTGCCTTTTTTCCCACTGAGGCCATGGCGGTGGGAGACCCAAGTGGGATGAGGATGTGGAATTAGGGTGTACTCGAAGAGAAGGGGATGTTGGGGGTGACGAACGAAGAACCCACCCTCGTTTGCTTGCTGTCTGTGTCGTTACTCTCTCGTCATGTGCCCTGACCCTCTCCTTGTGAACGAGTAGATCAGTCTACAGACAGTCGAACCCCTACGACTGAAGTCGACGGAACGATGGAAGAATGGAAGCCTAATCCAACTGGTAGAGGTCGTCCAACTACAGGGCAGTACCCCCATACATAGCTAGAAGAAGTCATTTCGTTTGCAGGTTCAACAAAGTGAGGGTTACGAGCTACCTATTGCCAAGCCGGTAAACCAAATATTAGACAGACAGAAAAGGCACAGAAGGATGCTCTTCCACGTCGGGGAGACAACACATGGTCTCCTTGTAGGGCTGCCCTGAACAGTCGTAGCCTCTGAGGATTGAGGAGGCGGATATACCGCAGTATGGCCCTTGACATGTTGTTGCCTTACTTTGGGGTCTCCGCAAAGGTAAAGTAACACCGAGAGAATGGGACTATCAAGACTCCTTGAAGCGGCCAAGGTGATTGAGGATGTGCATCCCGGCCCCAGGACTTGCCTCTTTGGATGTAGTATTTCAAATATCAAAAGAGACTGTGGTATCTCTAGGATTGTAATGAAAGGGGCTCAAAACGTCATTGTCTAGAACGTAACGAGCAGAGTCAAGACTCGTGAAGAGGTCATTTCCAGACTGGGGCCAGCTTCAGTCGAGACTTCGATAGCTACATTAGCCCCAGAGCAAGGCCACCCCTTGCCCAGAGTTCCTTCCTTTGCCTGCTTCTTCACCGTACGCAAATGGTTTGTAATGCGGACTTACTGTGCTTGGCTCATCATTTCCCCATGCCCGTCTCCCGTAAAACCTCTTACGAGTGGGAATCTAGACTGTAAAGCCGGACCTAGGTCCGTCTGACATGAGCTGTCGTGGGGCCATTCAACATTGGTCGATGAATCCTCCTCATCGACCGGAATGGCGGCCTTATGCGCTGGCTTTGCTGTACCTTGCGCAACCATCGCTCGACGAATCCTTCCATCTTGGTCTGTTTTCCCCCATTTCTCGTCTACACCCTCTCTTCTCTCCACCCAAGAAGACTCGCACTCGTTCGTCGAACCAGCGTCTGGCCCGGACACTAATGGAGCACACCCGCTCCCCTCGAAATCACAATCGAGCCATCGCGATGCTGTCCGCCGTCGAAAATAGCAACAAGGTAATTCTGGAGCCTAGAATCGGTCATTCCCCTCAATGCCCGGACGATGTGCGGTGGTTGGTCCGTGAGGGCCATAGGATCGGCCTCCCTGCGCAGGTCACCGCCTCGTTACCATGAGTACCCCAGCCACAGTTTTGGAAGGATCGCGTGCATACCGCTCAAGCCACGCTCGCGGGCCTAGAGTGCGATCAAATAATCGAGGTTGGCCAGCTCGGAGTCGGGCTGAGGTGAGAAGGGATATCCAGGACACACAAGGCTGACTTCTTCCCCTTCGTGAGACGGGCTGATGAGACGTGGTCCACATAGAAGGCTCACGCACATTCTTCCATGTCGCGCTCTTTGATACACATCATGCTTCCAAATCGTGACTGCCGCCAGAGGCGGGGGCTGTCCAGCTTACCTCCCTGTGACGACGACAACAACACGCTTCTGCATTTTACGCATACTGCGAATGCAAAGCTTCAAGATCGGATCTTTTCGCCGCTAGTCCCTCAGACGTTGCCGCTTCCAAGTTGAGACATGCCAGGTCGTCCACCACCGTCAGCCACAATGCATCAGTCGTCTAGCCCTATGAGCCGTGCGCCCCCCTTACCAATTCCCCGGACGGCCGTATGGAAAACCGTCCACGAGGTCCGGAGCACCTGAAGCGAGACCAAGTGCTCCGAGTCACATCGGCGTATGAGCCGAGTCGGCCACAACCACGGGGTTAATCTGGAAAGTCCGACCGCGAACGCAAGAAGATGCATGGCGGTGTTGCGTTGGCCCAAATTACCCTGAAGACGCTAACCTATTGTCAACGAGAGTTCATTGCTGACGCTCGTAACGCTCTTACCGAACTCATTCGCGTTGGTTACGGTGATAGACACTTTCGTCTGATTTGACCACCGCCGTGATTCGTATGGAGATAATGATAGAACATCGATGCCGTGGGCTCGATATTGTCCGAGGTTGACACTGCAATTCCGGTCTATCTTTGTTCCCACACATAGACACCGCATCGAGTCGCTGGTGGACGGCACCGACTATGAGTGGTCAGATGCCGCCACCACAGCTGGCCAGACACATGTTGTGCATCGAAGAAGGCGCGACAAGAATATGTGCTAAGTACGCCATTACAAGCGGGTGGTGCGCCGCCAAGTTGATCGATCTCTCGACATCAGGAGGGGGGCGTGTCTCTGGCACCTCTTGGTCATGCCCCTCGTAGGGCGCTTGGTGCGAGACGTTGAATCCTCCCGATGAGCCAAATCATCCATGCTCGCATGAACCTGATTAAAGGCGTTCGGGATGGATCGCGCCGGTACATTTCACGGCCAGAAACCACACAGGCCAGGCCAGATTGTAACAATGTTTTCTTCGCACTTTGGCGGGGTTTTGGCTGAAGGCGATTGGCAGGTTCGGGTTGATATATCAGGTCCCGCCATTTCAAAGTGCCAAACAAGTCATAAGCAGAGTGGACTTGAATATCCGTACGATAGCAATACGTTAAAGTCTCCATAATAAAGAAGGAGCCAGGGTCTGGCCAACGATCGTGGATAATGTGGTGTGTCTGTCTACTCGTCTGCGGCACAGCCTCAGCATCTCAAGTCCACAGGGCAACTGGATGTAACAGTGCTGGGCCACGTCGAGCGTGCAGATGACGGCCATATGTCAACTTGAATCCAGTGCTTCAGCTCATCTTTTGACAAGGGGTGTGCTGCAAGACGTAGGCTTTCCGTTTGAGAGTGTACGGGCGAGCGTGTACTGTTTTGGAACCTGACGCTGCATGTCAGACTTTGGAGCAACCCAAGACGCAGATGGAGAGCGGTCGGTCCCTCGTAGGGCTGGGAGGAACACTTGGGGGCGGCAGCGGAAGGATTCTGAGTGTGTCTAATGGCCGGTATGTACGAGTGTACGGAGAAGGGTTCCGTCGGCCAAAGGTGTAAGCGTAAAAAATACGTGTTGAGGGCGTAGGTATCTGTACGGCCACGTACAAAGGTCCCGTCCGTCTGGCCAGCCACGGCACCGGCTGGCCTGCGAACAGACCATGACGTAGTAGGCGCGGTACTCGAATTTGGTCTCAGTATGGATACCTCTCTACCATAAGATTTGTCGGAGCGAAGCGGTTCGGGTGAAAAACAGCGATTCTTCGTGATGGCGACAGTGTAGAGTTTGAGGGGATTCATTCTTGGATGACGTCGACGTATCTAGGGCAGAGCCGTGCCGCCCTTCTGCATATGTTGTCGACGAATCGGCAGGAAGTATACGCGGCTTTTCTGGCTACGCTCGTGAACACGGAAGGCAAACCAGAAGAGGCAGTTCAACCCTTTTCCCAACATGAACATGCATTCCGCCGTGTGGTGTGACCTATGCGTCCGGTGCAGGCAGCCCTAAATCGCTCTGCCCTACAGGGCCAGAAGACATCGGGTACTCGGCGTGCCCAAGAAGACCTGGCTGTTTTCCGCCAGTCTGTGAGGTCTGTGAAGCTGCAACGATATTGGCGGCGTTCGACCAGAGACGCCATGGTCTGAGGCACGGCGCTCCCAACTATCGCATTTCTAATCTGCTGACATATAACGACCAGCGCCCGCAACCTGGTCTATGCTGTCTGTGCCGCCGCGAAACTTCCGGAGGTCAGGCGAGGGTTAGAAGAGCTAGGTATTATTGAGGGTGCGTGGCCTCAAACCTGTCTCTTGACTCTTCAGGTAAACGCCCACTTCTTAGCTTCGATGTGAGCTTTCAGGACATCAGAGCTTGTTCGAGCCTTTGCGAAGTCGGAGACTTCGACAGCCTCTCGGCGACTTTGACTAGGTCGAGGTGAATCCGGGGTAAGAGGCACAGCCCTCCCCCATCGGCCAAGGATGCCGAAAAAGTCGATCAGATTAACAGTAAGATTTCCTTTCAACAAACTGTGTCCCTTGGCCGAATTTTGGTGGACCTCGTAGCATCATAGATTCGGGCCCCTTGGTGTAGCATGGTAGATTTGGCATTTGGTGCACAGAGCCCGTTTCTGGCAAATCATTAGGAGAAAAGCATGATCTGATCCCATAAAGAGTATGGGAAATGCAAAACACTGAAGAGTCGGTGACACTAACAATTTTAGAGTAGCAGTCAAGCGCGATTTTCATCTCTTTGCAGCTCCATGCCGCAATTATATGTAGGAGAGCGGAGAAATCCCAAGCAAAGTGGGATTCTGCGGTGCCCACTGCACGCATGCGGGTTTCTTGTTCACAGGGCAGTGTTGTATGCCGCGTGCCGCGTGCTGTAGAAGAACGGGGAATATGAGGAGTCCACGGAACCCCCAGCTCGGTGGGCTACAGCTCCATGAGCTGTAAAAGGCGAGATGAGAAGATGCAAGACAATTCTAAAACGTCTCTGGCGAAATTTCTAGGGCCCGTAACATGAAACGCAATGGTAAGCAGTACGTCTTCCTGTGGAGGTTCTCATTTGATGAGTGCTCGTGGGTGACAGCGTCATTGGTGCAACGGTACAACCTGACTTCGCGTGCCGAGTGCTTTCGACAACATTTCGGTTTACGACTTCACAACCTGGGCCTTTTCCTTATTGAGTCGTTTACGATGGATCAACTGCTTGGCCGGTGCACTGTGTTCATTGCTTTCAATGGGTCCCAAGGGGCCCATCACGCTCCCCATCCTTACTATCGGAGCTTGGGGGCGAGTCCCGAGATTTTGGAGCTCACTCGTCCGAGACCGTGGCATGCCGCATGAGCAGTGAGCAGTTCAAAGTTCAGAGTACCAGGCGACCCTGGTCGTCTGGTCTCCATTTCGATGGGCAGTCGCCAACGTGGCAGTTGTTCCTTTACATACTTCAAGGGTTCAAGGTGCCAACAGCAATCGCATCTTTGCTGCTTTGGGGAACGAGCTTCTGCTGTGTACTCGCGGTGATTCGGGTTATCCGTATCGACACAGCTAGTCCGGGTCCGATACGGAGTGGTTATTGCAACCTAGCTCAATGTGGCTCCGTAGGACTTAGATTAACATTCGGATAGCAAGGTCATGATGAAAACCAGACTTCAATCGTCAACGGCCAGAACTCAGGCTTTGGGAGCCAGTGGTGAGGCCGAGGTTCACATCGCTCAACATAACGAATAAGTCGATGATATCTCCTATCGAAGGTGGCAGATGCTCCCTAGCCTTCCACGAGTCCACGCCGATGACGACTTGGGGGCGTAGGCGAAAGTGCAATGGATCCGGGATTGAAGCGTGGCATTGCAGCTTGTCCTCGTCGACCCGAACTTGTGTCGAACCTCGAGATTCGTCCAATGTTTCGCAGTCTTTCCTAGCCTGGCAATTCGTAAATCTGGCCAACGATTGTCCGACCGTAATCTTCGATCTTTCCCGCTTCTTGCGTCTTCCATGCGTATGCGTACGTCTCACATAATCAAGGATGGGTCAGGACGTGGCCTGTTGATGAAAGCGCAACGATCCGCGATGACTGTGGAAGTGGTGAGAACTCAAAGCGTCGTATTCGGGCCTATTCCACTCTCATAGACATGGGTCGCTCGAGTAAAGAGTCATTTTCTTAAAAAAATACTTGTTGCGTTCGCATCTGGCAGAGGCTCGATTTTGAAGGGTTTCCAATGTCATCGGATGCAAGCCAATGATTTCGCAGCTCGTCGCCTATTGCGCGCCCGTGCTTCCGTGGCTGATGGTAACGTCTGACTGTTATCAGAACCCCACGGCTTCACGCTGGGCATTCTTCCTTCTCTCTCGATTTGAGTTTCTCAGCCTCTGCGGTCATCATATTGTGTCCAAATGCTTGTTTGGGCGGCAGACCAACGGGCCACCTGGGGATCGATCTCGTGGCTCGAATGCTGTCCATCGCTTTGGACATACATGTGCGCCGTGGACCAGGCCACATGGTGTGAACAGGTGAGCCAGAGATAATTGGCTCAGATAAACGCTGGCCGTCAACGCCATCGGATGTTTCCACCAGGCAAAGTGTAATGTGTGCCAGTATGCCTGGAAGCGTTCGTAACCCAAAAGGCGGGAAATCACAATCCCAGTATCCATAAAGAGGCTTCGGATATGATACTGCGTGGCCAAGAAAGAAGCTAGAGTTGGTGAAAATAACATGGTCATCAGTGCCAACCCGACCCAACCCCAAAGTCTAAGCCTTGT